CCTGTGCCCGAACAGTGGGGACATTAAAGGCTGATGATGATGAGGATGAAATATTCAATACTGGTTTGGGCAGGAAGTTAAAATCTTTCAAGACTTTCCACATGTTATTATATAAAAGGCACAGCAAATTTAATATGATGTTAAATATATAGGTATAAAGACTCAGTAAGTCAAAGAACAGTCTTAACCTAATCCTCTAGTCTGCAGAACTGAAACATGACTTACCAATAGAAAAAACACAAACGAAAGATTGTTATATTAGACTTTGTATCTGCAAGGTGGACATTAATTTCCGAAACGGGCGCATAGATTCAAGCGGGAAATCCACTTTACTTTAATTACCTTTTTTACCTTAAAACTATGGTAATGTATGCTTTTGTAGAAAATAGAATATCACTAAACAGCCATCACTTCAGTAGTAATGCTCGTATCCTACGTTTGCCCTACCAGATTCGAACCTTCTTCTTTTAATGTCTGAAATATGTCTTATGTATTCTCCGCCCATCGGGATAAGCGCGACGGAGGTATCTACGGACTCCTCCCTACCCATTTCACCCAGCTCGAAAGCTCAATGAAATGAGCAGGGCCCTACCCAGTAACAATCTGACAATACTCCTGCACCTTTTTTATGAGTGTGTATGCTGTTAGTCGCAGATGACCTTTACTGCGTCACCGGGTTTGAGGACGGCGAGATACTAGGGGACCACAAGCCGAGAATTGGCGAGTGCCTGAGAGGTAATCCAGGCGGATGGCATCTACCCGCGCGGGGAGTCTCCTTTCCGTCTGGAGACTCTAGACCACTCGAACCTGAGGGGGTCGGCTCAACTAGAGGGCGTCTCTGAGATTCGGACCTCGGCTCTAGTTAGCCAGTTGTCATGGGGGAGCTCCTGCACCGGTCCCCAGACACGCACTATGAGGACCGAGGTCGACCTAACGCATGCCCGAAGTGCCGGTGTGGTCGTTACGCCCGTGTTTCAGACTGGCCAATCTGCACCCGCAGCCGGGATTCGAACCTAGGATCTCAGTGTAGGCGACACCATGAAAACTGGTATAACTTAATCGAAATCTTACCATATATCTTGCCATTTATGTAGCATAAAAATATTGCGTAATACCCACGTAATATCCGACGCCGACGCGGCAATAATTTATATTTGTCATGGAAATATCTTTACAGAGTTCTTCATAAGTTATGTTGGTGAATAAATCGTGCGGCCTGAGCACAACTGTCTGGGGTTGATATATTAAAACTGGAATAATGCAGTCACATTGTAAGGAGCTTAGAGCATCCCGGGGCGGCTTCCAATATATTTATTCCTTTGTGCGGAATAGTGTGAGGAAAAATATTGAAGGTAAAGTGAAGCGGCTGCACTCTAGAGATGCCAATTGAATTTTATTGCATTGATAAATATTGAATGCTGATAATAATAAAAATCCAGCCAGGTGCGAGTCGGACTCGCGCATGAAGGGTTCCGTATCATTATTATACAAAATAAGATTTAAAGATTTATAATATCGAGCAAAAAATTGCAAAATATTCACGTCTGTTGTATGGGAGCCCGCCGTAAATATTTATTTTATTTTAATTAATTATTTTTAAAGTAAAGAAACAACTGAATATTCTGTGACTGTTTCAAGCATCTACCTGTGACTTTATTAATATAGACAGACAGAAGAGTCTAAGTAATAGGGTCCCGTTTTTACCCTTTGGATAGGGAACCCTAAAAAAGCCCCTTGTAAGGAAGTTGTGGCAAGTAAGATAGCTTCAATTTCAACTAAACTTATAATTTAAATAGATTTATCTTACTTTTCTAAAAATATGCTTTTATCGCATGTTTATTCAAATGATTTTAAACGGATTTGTTTAATAAGTAAGACATATTAGTTTGGGGAAAAAGTTTCTTCGCATTTTATATGAAAATTCAAAACATTTTTAATAAAGTGTATTTACATTTAACTACAGTATGTAGGTGCCATTTTGTTCGATAACTTTTTGCTATCTTGTAGGTAAGGACATTATCACATTGCTATAGTAATTTTGGGGCTTCTGATCAAAAAACCGCGACATGTGCTTTGGGCAGTCCTGTCGTGATGTTAAACTGGCACTACCGAAAGAATTCTGAAGGTGAAAGGTCAGGACTGTATGGCGGATGCATTAACACCTTCCAGTTAAACTCTCTTAAATTTTACTGAGTGGCTAAAAATGTGTGAGGTCTGGCGTTATCATAATGAAATATCACTCCCCTTCTGATGTGATTTAATCTCATCAGTTGTTCGCAGAAAAGTTCAGAATCGACGGTTCTGCTTGGTGGTAACAGCTCATAAGAAATAATGCCCATCATTGGGAGTAGTCCCAATAAACACACAGCATTGTCTTGTTGAGAGTTAACCCGGGTTTCGCAGGTCTGTAAAGCCTGACCGGCCTTTGACCACGACCTTATTCGCCCGTTCTTATCGTACATGATCTACTTTTCATCACCAATTATCAGCTTCTTCAAAAATGGTTCGGTTTCATTACTACATAATAAAGAATCACAAATGAGTACACGGCTCATTAGGGTTTCTTTCAGTGAGCTCGTCAGGCTCCCAAATATCGAGCTTTTTTGTGTACCCAGCTTTTTTCAAATACGCAAAAACTGTTTTGTTGTCAATTTCCAGTTCTTCAGCTACGTCCTAACTACTGCTAGGACGATCTTGCTTTCCTTATTAAAAAATGGCATCCATTTTATCTGTTACAGGTCGACCAGAGCGACGTGCATCTTTGACATCAAAATATCCAGATTGAAAACGCTTAGACCAAATTTGTGCTACTCTCACAGACTGCACTAGGTCCGTAAACATCACGAATTCTTTTTGCAACTTGGGTTGCATTTTTACCATTTTGATAGTAAAATTTTTAAAATGTATCGAGTTTCTTTATTAAATTGACTCATCTCGACAGTAAGAAAAACAAATGAAAATCACAAATTTTTCTAATTTGAATTTGGAATTATATTCTTTAAAATTTAAACTTTTTAATGATACCAACACCAGCCAGATACAAATAGTATAGCCAAAGAGATTTTCTTTCAAGTTCATACATACTATGTGTATAATGCGAAAAGACTTTTCCCCCAACCTATTAATAAATTCCAAACAAATGTGTTTTTTTTATAAAATTCTAGGTTTATCTCTCTTTGATATAATAGCTAGTAAACTGCCCTCGCTTTTCTTGAGTGTAGACTATAGTTTTTGCTCTCGAGTTTGAATCTGTATATATAAAAGGCAATCGTTACTTACCGACTGGTTTATCAACGCACAGCTCAAACCAATGAACGGATTGTGCTGAAATTTGGCACACATATAGCAATTATTATGATGTAGGCGTACACTGAGAATTTTCCAAAACTCACCCCTTAAAGGGGTAAAACAGGTTTTTAATGTTTGTAAATCCAAGATCGCGAGGTTAGTCCGTGTTTTAACTTAATTTGCAAATACCTTTTTCAAAAACCCACCAAGTTAAGTAGTTTTATAGTTATTTTTATTTATTTACTGAGCTTGACATTTACTCATTCACTTAAAATCAAATGTAAAGCGGTGGAAGCTGCAGGTCATGGCTAATTATACTAAAAACCTTACGTGAAAAATTCAGTAAGTGAAAGTGAAAACCATGAAAACCGTACGAAAATCCGTTAAATAGTTTTTGAGTTAATCATATAAAATACCTACAAAAAGATGCATTGTTGGACTTCGTTATATAAAGCAGTATGATGCTATTGGAATTATGACATCAACAAATTTGTACGTGATTAAAAGCACGGACAACTCTTTATTGATCAAATTAGGTTATTTAGTCAATTAGTAGTTGTGGAGTGTGGCGAATTAATAACCTCGTATAAAAAAGTTCAGAACTACCCTCTGGATGGGGTTGAAGTTAACTACACTACTCTTACGGTAAAGCAGTACAGTTTTTCTTTTGCTCCCATTTCCATAGTTTAAGAAAAAATATAAAAATAAGAGCTACATTGGTTGGGTGTGGTTTCAGAAATTTTGGCATAGACTAAATTCGCTCTGAAATCTCTAAAACTCAGTGTTAGCCTTCAGATTATACCTTTGACTTTGACATTCAATTTCTAGACCGGTCAAGTTTGATGCGTCATAGTATCCATGCAATCCTTCCTATGTTTCCAAAGACTGGTTCGTGGGCCGTGGGTGATCAGCTCACTGAATCACTGATTGACACCTGTTATAATTCTTAAGCGTTAACCTTTGTTAGAGCCCTCGACACATATTTTGAGCGTAAGAAAACAATAACGTGAAATCGTCCGAACAGAACCAAGGCCGCAACGTTTGATACAGAGGAAATTAAAACATTGTTCATTATAATATTGCAAAATAATTTGTCATTAAACAAGAAAACTTTTTTTAGGTTAATTCAATTATACTCGGTGACGCACACTAGTATTTACCGAGTTTTTCCTTTTTAGAAATTAGAAATAAATTTAGTAATTTAACGGATTGATAAAAGCAGCTAGTTTGATTATATTTATATATTTGTCTGTCGTTTGTCTGTCTAGACGCCAATTGTGAAAGAAGTATTTAGTTAATTTATTAAGTCCATGGAAAAATATTTTATTGTAAAATTTTATATACCGGTAGCCATAATACTATAGTACATAAAGTCCGTAGGTACTTATATTGATATTATTATCTAAGCACTAAGTTATTTTATAACTAATTTTGACTTTTATATAAAAAAGTGCAATTATAGAATTTTATATTGTGAGGTAATGATAACACTGTGGGATTTATTTGTCTCCATCAGCTTTTCCAGAAACCACCAGCATTTTTCTCGGTAATAGCCGAGAAAACGTGTCACCCATAGTTAACCGGGTGGTTGCGTAAACCGACGCCCCACTGCCGCCGCCAATGAACTGGAAAGCAAGGTCTCTGACCACGCGCATTGTTTTATTTTAACTGTTTCAGCTCCATTAGGATCAGTTAAGACAATACCACAGGAAGGGGACCACCGGACAAGGGCCCCAGACGGTGGAGGAAAACTATCACACGCTAAATACAAAAACCACTTCGTTCCACCGAATTTAAGCTTACTATAAATAAAGGTTGCATTTGCGAAATGACATCAGTCGCACTACGCCTGTAACGATCACATCAACAAAATGTTGACGACGTTTTTCACCTTGGCTGTTTTTACCGTGGCAGCGGCTCAGCTGTTTCATAGAGTGGAGTTATCAAATGAGAAAACACCTTACGATTACGTGAAAGAAAGATTGGATGCAATTGGTACCGATCCGAAGTCTGGAGTGCCGATTTCTGGATCATACGAAGTGGAAGAAAGTGAAGATTATCCTGAGCAAATTGAAGGAGCTGCATCATCAATCCTTAATACCGTTGGAGGAGTTGGTGGTGTAGGAGTTGGTGGTCTTGGTTATGGAATTGGTGGACTTGGTGGTTTAGGTGTTGGCGGGATTGGTCTTGGTCAAGGATTAGGTTTTGGCCTTGGTGGTACGGGAGTTGGTGTTGGTGGCACTGGTGTTGGTGTGGGCGGAATCGCCAATGGAGTTGGCCTAATCAACCCAGCTATTGGAGGACTCGGTGTTGGAGGCATTGGCCTTGGAAACGGACTCCTCTATCATCCATTATTAGGAGCACAAGTAGGTGGTGGATATGTTGATAAAAAAGCATATGACGCCGCACAAAAGAAAGGCGCTGACGAGAATGTAGAGAAATTAGAAAAGAAAGCAGAAGAGGAATCTAAGCATGGTCAAGAAGGTTTTCAACAAGCCGCTGCTGCTGCCAAGGGAGAAAAGGGAGAGTCAAGTTTCTACAAAGACGAAGAAGCAAAGAAAAAAGCTGCTGGCGATGAAAAATTCTATGAAGGGGCCCAGAAATTGGACAAGCACGGTATGTTTCGTATTTATTATTTAGAATTAAAACAGACATTCAAATAGTTATTTTGTACACTGTTATGTTCATATGCTATAATATAGACAGTTCTATTTTCTGAAACAGGTGCCAACGAAGAACAAGTAAAGAAAGCAAAAAGCCACAAGAAAGGCCACGTGAGCAAAGGTTTTAAATCTTCTAGCAGTAAGAACGAAGAAGAGAAGACGGAAAGCTTCTACGACGAAGCTCACGACGAAGCAGACCACAAAGTGGCCGGACACAATGCAGGTTCTTTCGGAGAAAACCAGCAACAGGGATTCAAAGGGGCGCACGAAGAAAAAGTTCTGGATGCCAATGCGCAAGGGAAGGAGGGCCATCACGTCGCCGAACAGAAATTCGATGATGCCAAAGCTAATAAGGTGAGCCAAACAAACTTTTTGTAGTATAATAGACATTTTCGATATTGATTAAGCTTGTACTTAAAAAGTGACTGAAATTGCTGCTTCTTAGAACATGAAAAAGTCTCCTTTGATCTGATATTCCAATTAACATCGATACAATTTTACTGTAGGTGTACGTTTTCGCTTACAATTAATTATACAAACTTCTCATTACATGGTTCTCACACGTCTCAACGGGGGATTAGTTTGACAAATTAACTGTGTTTCACGCACTGTTTCATGACAAATCATGAATTCACAAACACTCCCAATTTCCAATTGGCTAACAAATTAGTTAAATACATTAGACGAACACATTAACAATGAAACTGAAGTCTGGGAGATGCTTAGGTATTAAATTGAAAGTTTTACTAGAAAAAATTTCACTCGGTTTAAGTTTCACATGGAATGCGAGAGCTTAAAAAAATATTTTTCAAGCATTTAATTTGCCCTTCATCTGCCTTTATTTTTCTTAATATATTTTTTGGGTATTGTATTTATCATATAGGGATTACATTAATGATATTATACATTTACGAATTCTCAAAGAGTTCTCTGTATCAAGCTTTTCCCTTTTCCCCAACGAAGCTCAAACACAAGCTATGTTACAAAATGTTTAGGCATCATCAGCCTATTAATGTCCCCACTTCTGGGGAATGGATGGATGGATAGGGAAATTGAGCCATGACCCACCACGCGAGCCCAGTGTGGATTGACGGGTTCAAACGACTGCAGATGCAGCCGAGGACTAACGGCTCAATGTGCCTCCCGAAGCACGGAAGCGCTTGAGGTAGTAAATTTTTGGTCATCCATCCAATGACCGACCACTGCGAAAGTTGCTTAACTGCAACGATAGCAGCCGAACGCGCTAACCACTTACGCCTTCGAGCTCATTCAACGTTTAGTAATAAACCTTTTGCTTGTCTACAGGGTGAGTACTTGCAAAAAGGCTACAAGGGTGGTGCGGAACTGTTGGAGAAGTTCAATAACCTCGGAGCTCATGCGGTGCACGGACACCAAGAGGCCAGCGGCGGCTACCAGCAAAACAAAGGAATCCTGCCGATCCATTAGGAATAGCGAAGCGCATTGAAGACCCAAAGTGGAGTAACTTTAATAATAAACTTTTTATGACTTTTGGCATGCTCGTTTGATTTAGCCGCCTACGCGCACGAAAGAAAACCTCAACAAAGACCTATTTTATTGTGACATTTCTCATATGAAAAACAAAAAAGCATATTCCTAACATATTAAACCCATCAATATATTTTGATAAAAAAAAACTTTTGGCTACATTGGGAGAATGATGTTGTCAGAAAACAATAGATAAACGTTGAATGAATCTCTAATAAACTAGGCTTTTGTTATCAGCACGGAAAAGTTAGCAGCTAAGAAAAACATAACACTGCTGACATGAATGAAATTAAATCAATGTTGTTATAAATAAGTAATAATGTTACACACTTCTACATCAACATCTAAGCCCCAGTCTAAATATAGCATAGTTTGAACTACGATCACTCCTTAAAATCATTCTTAAATACAAATAAGTATTCATGACAAGCAGGAAATTCGATTTGAACCTGAAGCTGCTGGATTCGAGGTCAAAGAGAACATTCAAAATATTGTAATGAATAAATGAAATATTTTAATAGTTTATATTAATAATGATGCAATATTAATGATGTAAATTAATTCAATGAAAAATACTCAATCCCAAAATAAATTAATAGTAAATCCATTCAATGAGTAAGACATTAAAATAATCATCAAATTCTTTAATGAAATAACCACTATTACAACACATGCTTTTAAACTAAACGCAAGCAATAATCAAAGAAATCAGTAACATTATAATTAATGAAATTAACTAATAGCTAAAATTACAGGAATGCATTCTTATTCTTGTTTTTGTTGAATGAACATTTTCTATTAAATCCATTACAATACAAAACGGAAGGGGATCCATTGGATTGGTAGCCAGACTCTTGACTGCAGTGGCTAAAATGAGACCTAGAAAATATATAAAGGTAATGTTAAATATATTTTAGTAGTAACTTGCCCTCGCTTCGCTTCGGTAAAGACTACAGTCAGGGCCAGGCAGGGGGAGCTGTGGCCCGTCCAGGAGGAGGGTCCAATCGTAAGTGGCACGAAGCGCCAAAAATTTTGGTTAACATAGAAAAACAGCCTACAAATTATTTGGCCAACATACAAAGATTTTGTTAGCAGGAATAAAAAACAGTCTGCAGATATACACTTACTGTAACAATATTTTGTTACATTATTACATTACATAATTATAAAAATAAAGCAAACTGTTAATTATTATTAAACACACAGTAACAGAGAAAATAAATCTTTATATGGGATGCGCCCATTTTGTGCATGATTATTTTTTGCTTAATTTTTTTAACCACCAAAATTTGATTAAATATGGGTCACTCATTGCAGCTTTTATATATTTACGGCTATACGTTTTTTTTACTGCTGTTCAGATATACATAAATTGCAGACTGATTTAGCAATATTTAGTGGAGGCTCAACTAGCTATTTTGGCTAACCAATAAAATTTTTTTGCTAACTAAAATACGATTTCTTAGCTTTTTGCATATAAATAACACCCATTTTAAAATCCCCTATTTTCCCCCCTCTTTCGTTGCTATAAGGCCTCCACACCTCGAAACCCGGCCCTGACTACAGTTTTTACTCTCGGGCTGGGTTAATTTTATACAAAAATCTAATAATTCACGCACTATTTCTATCATTTATCTATTTCTGAGAACTGTAATAAAATCCTTTGCGTAGTTTTAAAGATCTAAGCGTACAGACAGCTGAAGCGATTTTGTTTGATTCTATGTAAAGATTTGGAAGACATCCAAAAGGCCACTGACAGGAGATAATTTTTAAAGTAAAACATGAAACCACTGCTAAGAGCCAAACTAATCTTATAGTTTAAACTAATTGACTAAACGTTTATCTCTAAGCTAACACTTAGAGAGGCTCTTTGTAGTGAGGGTCATAATCACAATTTATTTAGTAGGACATGTGTACAGCAATATATTGAGACATTCAAGTCTATTCACATTGGCGTGAGACAAAATGTAAACACAACATAAAAAGGATACTTTTTAAGGTCACGTTTGACAAAACTAAAGATTAAATACTATTTACATAGGAAATGCAGGGAAACATTAAGTTAATTATTTTAAACGCTGGTACATACATATGTATAAAAAATAAAATATTTCGCACATATTTAACGTACATACTCGTCATAAATTCGTATAATTTTATTTTGCTGATAAAAGTATTTTAACAACTTAAGGCCGTATACAGAAAGAAAGCCGAAAGCCGATCGGCGCCGATCGGCGCTTATCGGCGCCGATCCTTCCTACATAAAGGAAGCCGATTAAAGCAGATCAAGCAAAATGTCGGACTCATCGGACGATGATTTGGTTTTGTTAGAAAATGTTTATTTAAAAATGCGAAAAACAGCTATACATCCTATAAATAGAGAAAGGAAACGTTTCGGAGAATACCATCATTTATTTGTAAAAAAATTTAAATTTGATGAACAAAGATTTTATACATATACAAGAATGATTCAAGAAACATTTTATTACATTTTGGATTTAGTGAAAAGCCGTTTGATGAAAAATTGGTACAATTGGCATAAACAACCAATCCTTCCAGAAGAAAGTTGTTCGCCAAAATGTTGTTCGCTTATACAAATAAAGTCACAAGCAATATCCAAGAGTTAGCCATAAATAAATTTAAAGATATTATAAAAAAAACACTTATTAAAAAAGCTTATTACAAAGTGTCTGATTATATTACAGACAAAAATGCTTGGGTTTGAACTGTTCCAATCATTCCAACAGGTTTTCTATATTAAATAAATCATAATTGTATTGACGTTGTAACAACATAATGATTTGTAAATGTTGTTACATTAGACTTTTAATATTGTGGAGTTTTTTTGTGTTGAGTTGTGGAGTTTTTTTGAGTTGAGTGTCACCGCTGTGCGAGCAATATTCCACGCAGGATCGCACTTAGGCCGTATACAGAAAGAAAGCCGAAAGCCGATCGGCGCCGATCAGCGCCGATCGCCGCTTATCGGCGCCTATTGGCGCTGATCCTTTTTCTATGGACCGGCGCCGATCGGCGCTGATAGGCGCCGATAAGCGCCGACACGCGCTGGTCCGAATAATAAATAATTTGTATTTGAATTATTTTCCTTAGATTAAATCAATCTAAGATATAATCTTTTTATAAATCTAATAACTTTATCTTTTATTAACTAAGCGCTAAAATTATTTGTTTCGTACTTACCAAATGGTGACAACAAGTCTTTCAGAAATCAGATATCAGAAATCAATATATCTTTATTCAAATTGGATGTATAGTACAACTCTTTTGAATCGTCCAATAATTTTTTTTCCCTACCACTCGTTATGGACATATTTTTTAGCTGCGGAGAAAAACGAGCGAAAAACACTCCACAACATTAAAAGTCTAATTTAACAACATTTACAAATCATTATGTTGTTACAACGTCAATACAATTATGATTTATTTAATATAGAAAACCTGTTGGAATGATTGGAACAGTTCAAACCCAAGCATTTTTGTCTGTAATATAATCAGACACTTTGTAATAAGCTTTTTTAATAAGTGTTTTTTTATAATATCTTTAAATTTATTTATGGCTAACTCTTGGATATTGCTTGGGACTTTATTGTATAAGCGAACAACATTTTGGCGAACAACTTTCTTCTGGAAGGATTGGTTGTTTATGCCAATTGTACCAATTTTTCATCAAACGGCTTTTCACTAAATCCAAAATTTAATAAAATGTTTCTTGAATCATTCTTGTATATGTATAAAATCTTTGTTCATCAAATTTAATTTTTTTTACAAATAAATGATGGTATTCTCCGAAACGTTTCCTTTCTCTATTTATAGGATGTATAGCTGTTTTTCGCATTTTTAAATAAACATTTTCTAACAAAACCAAATCATCGTCCGATGAGTCCGACATTTTGCTTGATCTGCTTTAATCGGCTTCCTTTATGTAGGAATAATCGGCGCCGATAAGCGCCGACACGCGCTGGTCCGAATAATAAATAATTTGTATTTGAATTATTATCCTTAGATTAAATCAATCTAAGTTATAATCTTTTTATAAATCTAATAACTTTATCTTTTATTAACTAAGCGCTAAAATTATTTGTTTCGTACTTACCGAATGGTGACAACAAGTCTTTCTTCTGGAAGGATTGGTTGTTTATGCCAATTGCCCCAATTTTTCATCAAACGGTTTTTCACTAAATCCAAAATGTAATAAAATGTTGTGTGTGTCTTGAATCATTCTTGTATATGTATAAAATCTTTGTTCATCAAATTTAATTTTTTTTACAAATAAATGATGGTATTTTCCGAAACGTTTCCTTTCTCTATTTATAGGATGTATAAAGGATGTGTAAAGTGTCTGATTATATTACAGACAAAAATGCTTGGGTTTGAACTGTTCCAATCATTCCAACAGGTTTTCTATATTAAATAAATGATAATTGTATTGACGTTGTAACAACATAATGATTTGTAAATTTTGTTACATTAGACTTTTAATGTTGTGGAGTTTTTTTCGCTCGTTTTTCTCCGCAGCTAAAAAATATGTCCATAACGAGTGGTAGGGAAAAAAAATTTTTGGACGATTCAGAAGAGTTGTACTATACATCCAATTTGAATAAAGATATATTGATTTCTGATTTCTGAAAGACTTGTTGTCACCATTCGGTAAGTACGAAACAAATAATTTTAGCGCTTAGTTAATAAAAGATAAAGTTATTAGATTTATAAAAAGATTATATCTTAGATTGATTTAATCTAAGGATAATAATTCAAATACAAATTATTTATTATTCGGATCAGCGCCGATAAGCGCCGATCGGCTTTCGGCTTTCTTTCTGTATACGGCCTAAGTTGACATGGAAAAAGACCTAAAAACTCAATCATCCCCAAACTTAAGACGTATTATAATACGACAGAAAATTTAAGAGTAGACATGATATAAGTATTTTACGTTGAAGTGTTGTGTTTTGTAATCGGTTGGTTTACGTTAGCCACCTTTACTCTTCCGATCAACCTACCTGCCTAACCTGCGAGCGTGCATATTCTATCATATTTATTAAATTATTATTATTTTCTTGTTTTATTTGTTGAGTTTGTTGTTATTTTTTTCTGTTAAGTTTAAAGTTGTTAATACATTATAGGTAATATAAATTATACGTAATCATTGACTAGTACGTACAGTCTGACATTGTAAAAGATAAAACCTCAGATTCTTTGTTTACATTTTGTCTCACGGCAAAGTGAATAGACTATAGATGAACCGCATCAAGACAAACCAATAAACAATTATCTATAGAAGTCTGTGCGGTAAGAGAATGGGCGTGGCGAAAAACGGAACCAAAATTAAGATTTTTATTTGGCAATCAAACCCAGCAATCTGGAAAACGTCGAAGTTTTGTATTGATACGGATTTGTTTGTTGTTGTGATTTCTTGCGGTTTTTTGTATTTAATCATGTCTAAAAGGGTAAAACCTTACAAATACGGTAGAAAAGCACTATAGCGCCCTCCAATCTGAATCCCATTCTCTTTCCGCACAGACTCTAACCAAGTAAGGTATGAATTAAAAATAAATATAAGCAAAACTATAGAGTTTTCAAGACGGACATATTTTAAACTTTATTTAAATTTATTTTTTAAACTTACGTCATTAGAATTGCTAAAAACTATGAATTTCCAAAATTTCGTAATAATAATCAGCGGTATTGCTATCTTATGCCATATACAAGTTGCTGTTTATATGAAATAATCCTGCTGATCACTAATGTTTGCACCCATGAAAGTTTAAAACATGTAGGTATCGACTTTAAAATAAACTTAAAACTCAACGTTTCACTTATGATAAATGTTCTCATTTATTATAATTGAAACCAATTTATGACACTGAATAATTTACGATAGCAAGAAATCTGAATTCCATCGACCCCAGGTTTCAGCAAAAACTGACATTAATAAAATCACCGAATCGTCAAAACAAGATCAGCGAGTTGCAAAAAGTCGCAAGTTTTTCAATATCTTACTCATTATAGAAACGATCCGTTAATTATAACAATTTTATACAGTCGCGACGGTGGTATTGTGAAAAACATTATTAAATTCGACTATTTCTTTAATTAAAATTAATCGTGATGTTACAGTCATTAAGGTCGTTTTAAATACCTGCGAAATTGGACACAGACAATTAACGCTTGCAGTTAGTAACAATAAAATCTTTGACTACAGTTTACGTTTTGTTCAGGCAACTACAGAATGAAGTTATCCTGAATTGTGAAACTTCTCCAACTTAGGTACTTTGAGTTTTATTATGATTTGTCAATGATTCACAATCTATTGAGCCAATTTTTATTGTTTGTGGTAACTAGATATGTGGGAAAATTTACAAAACTATAGCTTAAGTTTTGTCCAGACAGCCACAGATCCGGCGAAGAGATTCAGCTGACAGTTTTTTTCATTGTAGGTAACAATGAAAAAAACGACGGGTTGCACTCCGGGAGTGCCGGCAGAAGTGAAAACTTGAAAATTAACGTTGTGCATTTTTGATATTTTTGAATGGTTAGGGAATAATTTTGCAGGAATTGCTTTAATTATCATTATAAAATTACTATCATGTATGTGGTAGAATACAATATTTATTTATTGAGCTATCGTACACAAACATGACAATTTATATTGCATTAAAAAAGTTTATCTCTCAGAAAAATCAACTTACATGAATCACGCTTAAGCGCACTTAGCGACATCTATTGTAAATAAATCAACTTACATGAATCACATTTAAGCGTACCTTGCGACATCTATTGTAAAAAAAATGCATTTTCTTCGCAATTAAGCTGCCACGTGGACATCCTAGATGAAGACTTATTATTATAATACGATAAAATAAAATATAACTATGTTTCGTCCAATATATTGAAAGACAACAACCTTTCCAATTTTATTGTGTGTCATGATGCGATCAGCCCACGTGTTTAAACTGACGCGAGTTTAACATTTTTACCCATACAAATAAAAGTGTACAACGCCGCTAAAGAAGTTTTCACTTAAAAAAACCTATACCTAGTAATTCTTCCACATCTCATTATCTCTAATTCGCATAATGACATAATAGCGAAATGCCTTCTTTTTCAAAGTTACAATTGAGAAAAACAACTAAGACATATAAAATTTATTCTCATCAAAATCTTCATTATGCCCGGCTGTAAATTCAATACCCACTATACAAAAGAAAATACTAAATTAACGTTTAACCATTTCGTGTTCGTATCTTGTGATATTCTTTAAAAAACTGTAAAATGGAAATATTCTGTTGGTTCAGGGAAGTCACTTCATTGTTATACATTTTGACGAACTTTTTTACATACAGATGTCCCGTAGGTATGTGTTTTTTGAAGTGATCAGTGTATTAATAGTTCAGTTTGTAACTGTACCTATTCAAAAAATAGGGATTTTGCTACATTAAGCGATTTAGTCATAATGCAAAATAAAGAATGAGGATTATTTACTACTTAGGTTTTTTGAATTGTAGATATTGTCTGCAGAACCGAGTGAGGTTACAAACTGACAAATTTTCTCTAACTGGTTTTATTGCTTTTTGTATAAGATTCGCTCACATAAGAAATTTTTACAGAAAGTGTGTGGTAACTTGTTCTATGGCTGGCCCAACAAAAGCTGAAGCTGTAGTCTTCAGTTTTGTTTGGACAGCCACAGAACAAGTTACCAAAAACTGTCAAAGTTCTCGAAATTTGAGTTGGAGTTCTATTAATCTGTATAAGATTCACAATGTTTTAGGAATTTTTGACAGAAATTTTATGTTGGCTGTCTTTACTTAAACCAGTACCCATAGCATGACCATCCAAATTTACATTATATCACGTTTTTTATCGCGCCTAACTCTCAAACTCCATAGTAATTTGACAATTGAGCGTGATAAAAATGAGCTACATATCATATCGCGGTGCTCATGCTAGGGGGGCAGAATGGGTAAGAGTTAAGTATCTTTACGAAAAGCACAGCTAAGTACATAATCCCACCTTATGTTAAATGTAAGTAGAGTTCAGTCAGTCCAGTTACTAAAATAGGTAATACAAAGTACTATAGTGTATATTATGCATTATCGCTAATGCGGCAGATAATTGTGCCACTTCAGCCTTCCTCACCTTGCCACCCTAAACCCAATCCCTTGCCCCGTGAAGTTCTGTAACCTTACCCTAGTGTTTTTGTGTTTTTGTTGTTTGTTGTATTGTTTGTGTTTTTTGTTAGTGTTACACCACCATCAGGTAGTGTTATTTTCTCGTCGTGTCTGTAAGATAGAGGTTACCTCCCCGTACAGGCTCTCCAAATCAAGTGGGAAATCCGTTACACCCTGACTCCTTTCCGATTTAATCGTAGAGTAAAACACGTGTTTAAACAGTTTTACTTACAAATTACAAGAACCACAGCCCTAGCTGTAAAGTATTTTTTATGCATATGAGACATAATGCGGCTACAATGAAAACACGTACACATAACAATTTGTCTTAAACACCAGCTTTGGAAAGGTCAACACTGCGCTGATATTTATCTTTGCCATGCCACAAACAACCTCCAAAGTGTTTCTGTTAAAATTAAACTCATAAATCATGGAAATTATAAAAGAATTCGCGCCAGCAGCGGCAGTGTGTGTACATTTGATACCATTATTAGAGATTCTTTAAAAAGTTGGTGTACCCTGCCGACTCGGGCGTGGGCGGCGTGAGCACGGTGGAACTTATCTTGTTCGATGTATTGGAGCGCTGGAAGAACACTGACTCAGTCAATAATTTGACTAATAATTGGATGTTGACGGGGTGAACTAAACGAAATGCTATTAAGTCCTTCAGTAAGATTGTCAAAAAATAAAGGACACTTCATTTTCTTTTGTCGATCAACCAAAAAAATACAAAGATATATCGTGTCAAAGTTTGGGAAAGGAAGCTCCTGGCATCACTTTTTAGGAAAAAAAAATACAAAATCCTGACGTTACGTGACATTTCAAATCAATATCTCTGTAATGTTTGATTAAGTGAAAAAATTAAAAAATACGTGTCCAATATTTTAGGTAATATACCTGCAGTGCTATTCAGTAAAATTTTCACGAGCGGATCCGATGTGGATCCGCGTGAATCTGGGGGGCTGTTCTGTAAAATTTTCACGCGCGGATCCGATGCGGATTCCCGCGGAACCGCATCGCATCCCGCGTGAAATTTTTACAGAATAGCCCCGCTGTATGGGAAACGCGCGGAGCTGCATCGGATCCGCGCGTGAAAATTTTACAGAATAGCACTGCTGATAGACGAAAAAACATTGTCACTACCCACTCCCTATTAGGGCTAGTTTCAATCAACAAACATCAGCCTATTATAGCTTTGGTTGCCTATATATTTTTAATGTTGCTAAGAAACGGAACCAAGCCATCTTTACCTTTACTTGAAGGTTTATCATTGAAACAGGCAGTTAGACGGCTTACATTATCTAAACTTTAGGAGAATGCTTTAGAACAGTTTTTTGTATGCGTGCAAAGGCTTATTCGCTTTATTTCACTTCACATGTATTATTTTTACTAAAGTGCTCTCGTAAAAACAGGATAGATGTGATGTGAATAAAAACAACACGTGTAGCTAGACAAATAGGTAACAGTGAAAGAATCCCAACTTTTATCGATGTTTCTGTAGGCCCTCCTACAGAAACATCGATAAAAGCTGGGATGTGATAATATAAAGGGGGTGTTACCGAATTACTAAAAAACTTTTCATCATAAAAATAAAAAGTTATAGAATGAAAGTTTGCATGGAAATAAATTATATGTCGCTAGTACTCGCTAATTAGACACCTAAATAAAAATATTGATGAAAAAAGAATTGGAATGGAGGTAAGATAATTAAGAATAACATCTTGTTTATTATGTCGACGTCCGGGATGCTTTCTTATAATTAATTACCTTCGATTAATTGCACAGATAGTAATTATTACATTATACCCGTATGTACAGTAAACGTAACAACAGGTAATAATTACGTAAGATGTGGAAAACTTTAAAGGTTAAAAATCAATCAGATAAAGTAAAGTTCAGAGAACCGTTCCATATGAAAATAATACATAACTGGTCAATAGCCTGCAGGAGTTCTTTTATATTCAGTAGGTTTAGGATATAATGACTTGAACGGCAGACGGTAACAAAAATATACACTGTAATAGCTTCTAATGCAAGTACCTAGGAACGGATAGATTTACAGTGGATGCTTAGTATGTACTAGACCCGCGACTTCGTTCGCGTGGAATTAGGGATTTGTGTAGTTTATTTTTATCCATTTTGCGTTGTCATCAATCTAAAATAACAAACTTTAAATTGTCATTTTTAGTTTATTTAAATAGGTAAGTCTTTATACCAATTTGTTTTCTTTTGTTCTAAATTCTATTGTCTCAAATAATAAGACTTTCCGTACAAACTTTCATCCTCTTTTTTTACTCTCTTAGGGTTAGATTTTCTAAAAACCCTGATACAAGTTATTCTTTATTTCTGTTCTTCAGTTAAAATACAAAGTTTCGAGTAAATCGAAATGCGCGTTAAAATTCATCCTTATAAATACTTCCCAATCCCATTTTAGGGGATAATCTAGGAAAACTAAAAATTACAAACTTTTAATTTATTTAGATAAGTAGATATTCGTGTCAAGTATTATATATTTTAACTCAAGAAATAAGAATTTTCATACAAACTTTCACCCCTATTTTAAACCCTATGGGGCTGAATGTTGAAAAAAAAATTCTTAGTGCACCCTAGACCTCATAAGGAAATCTTGTCCCAATGCCATGCGGTTTGGGCTGTGCGTTGATATGTCAGTCAGTCAGTCACTTATTTCTCTTATATATTTAGGTTTATTAGGTTTCCACTGATTCCTTTTGGGTACTGAATTCTTAAATCTACAGTGGCAACTATTGGAAAAAAGTATAACCTTATTTTAAAAACAAAGCTAACTGATTCACGTTGAACATTCTCCTTATGAGTTCGATACAAACTAGCAAATCTGGCGCACTGTAGACAAGTGTGATCGTTTCACTACGATATTGTACCATTTAAAAAAAAACACAATAAACAATTACAATTTCAATCCAATTTTCTTTGGTCTCTCTTATTAGCAAGATTTATAATTATAAAATAACTTATCACATAAGGAAACTCAGTAAGTAACAATAATATGAAAATTCTAAACATCTAAGTGCTCATATCAAGCTCATTTGCTGATTAGAACTCAATGGATTTCCCCCGAGCAATAATTGGTAGGTATATAAACTTATCTAAATTAGATATAATATCACATAAGGTCAATTCTCTGTGCCTTCTTTACTAATTTTATAAGACTTAAGAGATGTAGATAAGAAATATTTACCTGACTCTGGGCACTGAAGCAGCCGGAGCGTTGCTTACTGACCCTCGATGGGGTCAACAAGTTTGACTGATAACATTGCTGTGGAGACACTTGTTATTAAACATTTCTCCGCCAGTATAATTTACTGAAGATTAATGATTGTAGCAACTATATAATATGGCATTAATAAATTAATTACATCATCATAAGCATGAGAATGACTGACTGACACTTCAGATACCTAACCCAGTTCTCCAGAGATGCTGAATTATTTGTCAATTTTTATTTTACCCGTCAATACCATCTCATTCTTGTTAGAGAATAACTACAAATAATTTGTAATAATCATTTTGGTGTAAAATTTGTTTATTTTTTGCTCGGGTATGATACGTATATATAGAGAGAGAAAAAATATCTAACTTGCAAAACCGCATGGTAATTTGTTCAGATAATTTTTATATCATCACGTAAATACGGCGACGATAGAGGGCTTTGTATTATAATATCTTAGGATATCAGTACATATAATATCATTTTATTTTGTGATCTGCGAAAAATTGCCACTGGCAGTAGATTTTCTATAACTACTTATTTTGTAACATTAATCCTATAAGGTAACCCGGGGCTATTGTTGCTACTAAAAATGTATGTCAACCTTGTCACTATAAATACTTACAATAAATTATTTATGTTACACATGCATTCATGATGAAGTAGACGAGTTCAAATTGATAGAAAGTCAATAAATTAATTTAAAAATGAAGATATTCTATTTTAAAGCCGGCAATAGTCACTTTTTCCCCCGATCTGTGGTAAAAGTAGCTAACCATCCGTATGTATTTAAATTCTCAAACTAACAGTAAACATCATGTCCAACTAAATGTTACTAATTTTGTACTTCAACGCTCTGTACTAGAGTTCAATTTACTTTAAAATTATTATAGTACCATCGGGGGTAAATGTTTCATTTTTCATTTACATTAGTGTTAGGACATGTGGCTCGATAACTTTGGATAACTAAATAATAGGAGTAGAAAATAACATAAACAAACAGGACCACAATAGAATCGATAAGTCTCATATAGTATTAAAAAATTAATAAAGCCCTCTTACATTTTTTCACACGTTTTTATTAGGTCCCCTTGTCCATTCCATTACATAGTTACATAACTATGTAATGGAATTTATGAATCTAAATTACACGCACTTCTAATTCTTGTATCATCATGAAACTTGGCATTTATATGTAGATTAGATGACAATACAATATTATGGTACCATTGAGCTGATCTGATGATGGGACTTAAAGGTGGCTGATGGAACCTTGGACTGTCTACTTGTAAACATATCGAGTTTGGGCTCATGAGATTTGCCTTAACATATTCTATTCATTTCTCTTGATGACGAAGACTTGACGATGAACTGGAAGGTGGCTGATGGACCCTGGACTACCTACTAGTAAACAAATATATATAATAAAGAGTTTGAGCTCATGAGATTCGTCCTAACATAATAAAACTTTGCAATTATATGTTGATTAACTATTTATTTCTCCTGATGACGAGGACGTATCAAAGGCTAAAAAGTATTAAATAAATTAATAGTTTAAAAAAACTTGAAAAAGACCCTTTTATAAATGCACGTAAAAACCAAAAATGAATTATGGTTCGTTTAAGTTGTCGCTATTTCTAGGCTGAAGTGTAAACTTTCTGCTTTTAATTATAATGATAGATATTTGATTGTAAAAGCGTGGGGCGCTGGAAAATGCAAGACTTTTTGTATAATTTGCTGAGAAATCAAGTGAAGCGATGTTACTGCACGCATATCTTGAACGCATATCTTTTTTACCTAAATGTATTTATAACCAATACTAAAAGTTTATTTTCTAAATTTCAATGAGTCCATAGTATTTTTTATAAAAAAGAGCATCTAATAAGGCTGACCTATTTATTTTGTAAACTTCCTTAAAAATGCGCCAATCACATGTAAACAATCTTGTTATTCAGCCCAGGAATTTCCTTTAGCAGATTAAAATTTATTTTCCTCAATTTTATGGAATTATGGTAATGACAGCCGCCAATTCAATCGATGTTGAAGCAATATTTATTATAACCGAACGGAGAAAACTTACCGAATAGAATTTTGAAAGAAATTTTGCTTTGATAATATTGATGAGAAAAAAATTGGAACAGACGGTAAGACGATTACGAATCTCGTCTTGTTTATAAAAGTGAAGGCCTGGAATGATTTCATATATTTTTTCCTGCTTTGCCATCTCTCTCTTTATATTAGGTGTATCCTACACAGCAAAATCTTTTACTTCAAACTCGATTACAAACATACAACAATAAGTAAATGCGTGTGAACGATAAGTAAAATAAACAGCTTATTTTTTTAAGGCTAAAAGTCAAGATTTGTTTATGTTCTGTAAACAAGCGATAAATCTTTTTTTTTTGTTTATATTAAACTTTCGGCGATGACAAACTGATTCGTCTCGCATGTTTTCCAATGAGTCTGTTGCATACTGCCATATAAAATAAAGTTCAACATACATTGATAAAATTCACACCTCATTAACAAAACATTGCCAAAATACCAATTTCCTTTCTACAAACTAATATATTTTAAATGAGAAAATAACATATCTGTCTATGTCTCTGTTATGATTTCACGCATACGCCTCTAAAGCAATTTTGATGATTTTTGTAAAGGAAATGGCAATAGAGAAAATGAATACTTTAAATAAAGCTTGAAGGAGGCAAAATGAGGTATGAAACCGATTATTTCAGGCAATCGTAAACACCCACTACTTATATATATATATATATATATATATATATATACAGGGCGTCCCACGGCTACCTCACATGGAGGGAAAGTATATTAAATATTGAAGATAGGAAATTTTACTGAAAGAAGACATCATTTTATTTTTAATAATAACTAGAACTGCATTCACAGATTTTTTAAAAATCGCCTGCTACAACTGGGAATCAAATTCGTGAAATTTCGAAAAAAATAACACGGCATATTTTATGATAACCATCGAAAGGGTTAATCATAAGGATTATTTTTTGCTCAATAACATAGCATTTTAAATGAAAGGAAAGTAATTACGTGATAAAAATAATAAAGTGATTTACAAACTGTAGTACGTATGCATTTCTTTTTGAACTCACAGTTACAATGCGACTGGCAAAAAATTGTAATAATAATAATTCGAAAATGGAACACATAAATTTTCAAGTGTCTGTTCTTTTCTTTTTTGTGAGATTCATTTTCATTTATTTGCAATTTTTTTGTTAATTTACTTACCATGGCTTATTAAAATTTCTCTATCTCTATCTTTCTTTCATTACCTATTTAAACACACATCGAGAAGGTTGGTCTCTATCAGGATATGTTTTGCAGTACCACCGCTAAGCTTATGATGTCTTTGTTGTTCATAAAGTAAGCTTACATTAAATCTATTTTATTTTGATGCGCCATGGTAAGTAAATTAACAAAAAATTGCAAATAAACGAAAATGAAACTCACGAAAAACAAAAGAACACAGGCTTGAAAATGTATATGGTCCGTTTTAGAATTATTATTACAAACAGCCAATCGTATTTTAACTGAATTAAAAAAGAAATGCATACGTACTACAATGTGTATATCACTTTATTATTTTTATCACGTAATAAGACAATCCTTTCATTTTAAACGCTATGTTATTTAGCAAAACTTAATCCTTACGATTAACCCACGATATATATATATCCTAGTTTTTTTTCTCTTTGTCGTGATGTTTTTCTATTCTGCTTTTTTTTAATGTATGCTGTGTAACAAATAAAATGTTTTCTTTCTTTCTTTCTAGTAGTACCTAGATATTTCTGATTTTCAGGTGTACTTACATTGTACGGTGTGCTTTTAGCAGGCCTTTTGTAGCACGGCGTAGTTTGTATGAAGTTCGGTGAAATGTTGGATCCCGGCGAGATTGGTATGTTGAATGGGGACATCTGTTCTGGAATATTTGGTTTTCATTTTTTTGTGGGTGAAAATTTTTGTCCTTACTAAAACTGAGACAGTCCGCCTGATAATTAAACGACAACCCATAGCTGTCTACAGATAACACAGATCTTATATCATAGTTCCCACAAAAAAACCGGCCATGTGCGAGTCGGACTCGCGCACCGAGGGTTCCGTACAAACTCAATTTAATACCTTTACGTGTTCATGAGAAAAGAGGTGGTAACTTTAAAATTTTCAAAAATATTTTTTATTATATGATGTTACTAAAAATGTACAGTTTACGCAAATTTTTCCTTTATCTGTACTACAAGTCGTTACTTCGTACGAAATTTCAAGATTCTAAGTTCACGGGAAGTACCCTGTAGGTTTTGATTCCCGTGCGAGTTTTGAAAATTTACAGCATAAACGGCTGTATCTTTTGATTGTTTTGGCTTAGAAGTTTCATTTTTTCACAGCTCCAAGGGACAGTAGACATGAGTATTAGATATGAATTTCAGTTTGATACCTCCACGCGTTCCTGAGAAAAACGGTCTTGACAGACGGACGGAAAACAAAGTCCTAGATATTTCTGATCTGAGTGATCCTATAAGGGTTCCGTTTTTTCCTTTTTAGCTACGGAACCCTAAAAATTGTTAAAAACCCGACGTAAGTGAAAATAGTGGGGACTGATAAATGCAAAACTGATAAAAGTCTTAGATAGTTCGCACGAAGAAATATTAAAATATTACTTTCTAACGGTGACGACCAATAAAAAAGTTCTTACTATGCTCAAAAAGCGGCTGCGTACAAACATACGTAGGAAAAGTCATAATTATGTACGATTTAGATTTAACTGGAAAAAAAAGTCTAAGAAATGGAGCTCCTTCAGCGTCCCACAAAAAGTAGCGAGTATCAATGCGTTTATCATCATCAGCCTACTGATGTCCCCACTGCTACGGCACAGGCCTTCCCTATGGATGGAATAGGGAGATTGGGCTATGACCCACCACGCGCACTAACAACTGCAGATGCAGCCGGGACCAACGGCTTAACATGCCTTCTAAAGCACGGAGGAGCTCGAGATAGTAAATTTTTGGTCACCCATCCATTGACCGACCACTGCGAAAGTTGTTTAACTTCAACGATCGCTGCCGAACGCACTAACCACTTGCGCCATCGAGCTCCTCGAGCAATGTGTAGGTAAATAAAATGTTATTTTTACTTGTTTGGCCTGCAAGTTGAGCCTCCAAGTTTTTTATAGTCTTTTGACACTCCTTCAGCTGCTTGTGCTGCTTCTGACACAACTCCGTCATCCGTCTCAATTCTGTTCTGGCTGTGTAAAACTTCTTGGTCTGGAAAATGATATCACTACAAGAAAAACTGTCTGAGGCATTTTGAGTACGACCAGGATACAGTCGTGAAAAACAAGCATAGCAAAAAGCCCTTCCAAAGAAAGAAGAGCACAGCAGATTTTAAGCCTAAAAATTAACCTAAGTACGTAACGTATTTTTTTTTTAATTTGTTATACGGACTTTTGGACCAAAATGTCCATACCAGCCCCATCGTAACCTGACCATACAAAAAACGAATAAGTAAAAATCTAACGTAACCTGACCATACAAAAAACGAATAAGTAAAAATCTAAAAGTAGTTTAATTACCGATTGTAATAAGTATGACAACAATCTACGTCTGTGCTGCCTCTGAAACTGTAATACTTCGCATGTCTTTTTAATTATTTCTTCCGGGTCCGTAAAATAATCTTGGATTTCCGGTTTCATCTAAAATAGACTATAATTGTACAGTATGATTACTTTATATTTACTTGTTCAATTTAATACTACAATAATAATAACAATACGTACATCAGGAACAAGTTTCATAATAGAACATGGAATGCGGCATATTAAACATGTATTTTCTTCCACACCTAAAATATATTAAAAGTTAAGAAAAAATTTGGAAAATCCAGAAGTGCACGCCTCACATTCACGAAACAGAAATCCAGTAAATAAATTCCATTGAATTTCATTAATATCTTTAAAACGGTTATCAGTTCAATCATGATAAAAAATAGGGTTCATCCTCAGTATCAGTGGAAACTAATTCAAAAGGATTTATTACAATTAATTGCGTATATTTTTCTAAAACGTGCAGACAAACAAGTGCACCGACCAACGGACAGCAGTACTAATATTTTTTTAACTTCATTTTTTTGTTATATATACTAAAAAAAATAATGAAAAAATACGCTGACTTTATAATTTAATATGTCTTCGAAACATCCCTTTTTTATTGATTTATTCTAACTTGGGAGATAAGAGCGATTTTATATTGTAAAATCGGCACATAGCGGCCTATCGAGAGTAAAGCACTCCCACACGCTTACGCGTTGTGAGGCGTGCAATAAATTATTAAATGTTTAATATTTAAAAATAATACAGACCAGTTTCCAAACAATTGCTGCAGAACATATGACCACATGATGTCAAATTTAATGTTATTCTTGGCTCCAATTGTGCAAAACAATTATTACAATGTATCCAATCCATCACAGTTAATTATGTGTAAAAACAATTGATTTCAATTCCTCATCGTAAAATAAAAACATTGCCATTTATTAACAGAGAGCTTTGAAAATAATGGCGCCTTTAAAAAAACTTCCTTTTTTCTTAATTTAAGTCTGTTCTGAAACAGCCAAAATATAAGTCCTTATAAACTATTTTTAAAATTGGAATGTCTTGATACCAAAGGTCATGTTATTTTTTGTATGGAGGCTGGGCTATTCTAGTGAACAGAAATGATTTTATATTTTTTGCAAGTATACTAAATATACATATTTTCAGATATAAATTTACAATATATAAATATTTTTGTAAAGTTTAGGGTGCTTTTATTTTTCTGTTTTCGTAAAACCAACTTAAGACTGTCTGCTCTATTAGTAAAACTACATTATGATGATATTGGTTCAATAATAAATTTATTTTAAGCCGATTTTTAATAACATGTCCCTTAAATAAGTCTCTCTTCTACATAAATTACCTATTAACATAGAAGAGATATATAATACCCACCTATGCATAAGTGTATGGTTGTAATTTGCAAGCTGTGCCTACCTAGGCACAAAAATAGTCTAAGAAGTATTTACATAGAATAAAGCCGGATTGAGATTTGTCTGACGCGTTGTGTTGTCGTGATGGACTCTGATTTAATGGGTAGCGTTCATGTCTATATTTTTATTGCCTTCGAAGGTCTGCTCGTCTGGAGCAGACGGGCCATCTGATGTTAAGTGGCATTAACAATGCCAGTGACACAGCCATGCCGCTGCCTTTCAAGGAACACTCTATTTAAGCCTCTCTTAAAGCGAACCACGTTGTAGTACTGAAGGAATACCGTGTAGGGAAGCTAATTCCATATTTTTATTGTCCGAGGAATACAAACTCCCTGTAAAATTGAGATGCTCATGAACATGATCTCTGGAAACCTGAGATGTTCATGAACATGCTCTCTGTAAACTAGACACGTTCATGAACATGATCTCTGGAAACTCGACTCAGGTGACGGGTGGTGCGGTGGTAAAATGGTGCTGCTAGAACAAATCCTTGAAGCACTCACCATGAAAGAACCTGTAGAATACGCATAGGCAATCAAAGTCCCTGTGCAATTCCAAAGGCTCCAAATTTTCCGCTAGCTTCGGATCATCGATTTGGGAATTAAAATCACGCGTCTTAAGCGTGTTTATATCGAATCGAGGGGATTCGACTGGTATTTAGGAGCTCCAGCCCAGAGACATGAGCAGTAACCCACGGGAGGCCAAATCTGCCTAATTTAAAATATATAAAGCAGAAGCCTTTGCTTAGACGTGAAGTACTGCTTGGACAAACAACATATAATATAAACCCGGCTTATATGCCAACATTATTGCATTTTAAAATGGCAGAAGTAGTCCCCGCCTCAACTTCCCGTGGCAACAGCCACTAATAAAGCCACATAAGTAGTATCTTCACTCTCATGCATAAAGCAGATTATATCTCATTCTTTAGCCTCCACGTGTCAACGGATATAAAGAAATTAATGTAATAATAATAATTTTACATTAATTTCTTTAAAATACTGTACTTACGAATGAAATGACACGCTATTATTTCTAATAGTTCCCGTGTAATTTGTGTACTAAATTATCTAAAAACACACAAAGTGCTTTTTGTCTGGAAAAACGTAAAATATTTACACGTTGTAGCGAATTGTAGCCGCGGCTAGAGAGCGTGCCCGACTGAATTCAAGGCAATTATCTGACTTTCATATTGCCAAATTAGAAGCATGTACGACGTATCTATAACAACAATATTAAATACCCTAGATACACCAACACGTACAAAATCATGCCCGAAACCTGTCCAAAAGGTACTGTAACGTCCGTTACGTTACCGCCTCCTTGTTTGGGTAAACTCTTTGTTCATGTAATGCCTACGGCTGGCAGTATATTAAAAAGGTAATGTCATGATTTTTATTTTTTTTTAATTGGGAATCTTCTGTCGTTTGATAGAAGGTTCCAGCAGATAGACTTCAGGCACCAAACCATGCAACAAACGTTGATAGATTAAGCTCAATTATTATATTCGCCTGATTTCTAATAAAATAAAAGAGTTAAACATATAAGTTTTTTCCATTTGATAAAACTACGCCCCCAGGATTTATCCCTTCAGGGTAGATCGCCGCAGTACCTTGGACAAACCACGGATGCTCCGTAAGATGATCGCGTAGAAATAAACCTCTTGATTTTTGGAGTCGGAAACATGGAACTGCAAGTTTGTTCTTAAATCTCGTGTTAAAGTCATGTTTAACTTTATTTTGCAAATGCATCACAGTTTTTTCTTACATATATTATATTTCATAAATATATTGCAATGTCAGTGTTAAAATATTAATTTCTATATTTTTTTCTCTAAGAGATTCTCTTGCCTTTAAGTTGTATATGGCGCTATTTTGCAGTACGAAAATAATATCGATATGAGCAGCTGAGCCCCACAGCAAAAGGCCATATGATATAACGCTATGGAAGTAACCAAAGTAAACCAATCTTGCCGTTTCCCCAATAGTTAAGAGCCTCTTTTTTTAATAGCAAAAGCCGCAGAGCGTGTCTACATTATAAGGCATCAATATGAGGTTAACCTGCCTTGCATTAGATTGAGTTAACCTTACATATTTTTATTTTTTAAGCATGTAACTGCTTGATGTATAAATCTATTTTTATCTAATTATATTTTCTTTAGATTCTAACACATTTTGTATTACTGGAGCTCAGTTTAAAATTATTTACCGTAAACTAATGAAGCACTTCCTTCAATCGCACCATACTAAATGTAAGAAACCGATACCACTATGAGGCGTCATAGCGTCACAACACGTCAGACAAATATAATTCTGGCATAATTGTTTAGAAATAATAATATCATATAATGGGGAGGGAACTTTCAATAAAATTTTATCGAGATAATATTATAATTATTTAAATGTCAAAAATTATAGTTGTTAAAAGTACTTCGTTCAAAGATTTATTTTCAGTTATTTTGCGAAATTCGTTAATAAGATACTTAAATGTGAAGTAATTTAAAACACCAATTAGAACTTTTGCTCTAACTTTGCTGCGTAGGTCAATTAAAACTTTAGGGAAAATATTGAAAAATGGAAAGTGGAAAAAAAAATATTCAAGCAGATTCGCAAACCCTTTCTGAGATACATGGTGTTGGTTTGGTTCCAGCCTTTAGAGGTATCAACCTGAAGATAGTTGAGTTTTACTTGAAAAAGTTTTCACAACTTATTCAAATAAATCAGACAATCAAGTGATCAAAATTAAAATTATAATAACATTGCTATTAATTCAAATCTTTGACGCGCGCGAAAGGTGTAGATTCGATCCTCCTTGGCTGAGTAAACATATTCGTGCAACATGCGCGAATTTGTAAATGTCACAACATTCATAAATCATTGAGGATCACAAAAATAATTTATCTTTAAAATAATGGCAAGATCCTCATTAATAAAAATAAAATTGAAAATTAACAAAAGCAAACGTCATCTAAGCGGTTGGATTTAAAGTTGGAAATTGGAACATTATTTAGGAAACACTGGATGAAACCAATGGTTCTGCACTCCGTATTTTATTACCTACCTACTATTATATTTGACTCGGATAGAAGTTTTCGACTACCTAAATAAGCCTTAAAATTCTAGAAATACTGTTTTGTTTTAATAAATCTATAAGGCCAATATATATTTGTATTCAGAATAAAAATCGGACAAGTGCGAGTACATACCGAGGGTTCCGTAGAAATTTGTAGATACGCAAGAGCTATTTGTTTTAATGTTAATATAGATTTTTTTTTTTTGCAACTATATGTGGCCGTAGGTCTAAAATCTGAATACATGATTTAAAGGACAATGGGCAAAACGCACCCAGCTCCGCCAACAATGTAATTAGTATGAATCGATAGATCTATGAAAAACTAGCCTCTTTTATTATGACACCAAAAATAAATATCCTGGGAGTCAAAAGATATGACACCGTAAAAAATATCCTGGTAGTCAATAGATATGACACATGGGCATATTTAAGTAGCTGAAAAAATTCATTTTATAATACCTTCATTTTATATTATTAGTAATCATAATAATATGCCATATCGTACTATAAATAAATAAATAAATAAATACGACAAAGCCTGCCGACCATCCTGCACTTGCTCTTACTGAGACATTTCAAAACGGTTTATTTAAAATGAAGGACTTGCCGTTGCAAATAGTCGACTCGTCTTACTTCGTTGTGATTGTGAACTCCCTGCTACTTGATTGTTTTTTATCTAACACGCTTTGGAACACGATTATCGGTTTTGTCAATTAGCATGGATGAACTGGAATCATGTGTTCTCCGAAGTGTGGACAAGTTTGTGTAATCTGTGGTCGCTCCGTTTTACATAAAAGACAATTTACTTTAACGAACAGAATGTTTGAATGTTTAAAAAAAAAACCAACCCATGCGGGGATGTTTGGATTTACTCTAGCGCGGCAGAATAACATAAGGGGGCACCCTTGCACATTGTGAAGTACTCCCATAATTCCAGAGCACCCTATGTAGAGTCGAACTAACTAACTATGTTAATTCCCTTGTTTCATTAATGTTCGTTCGTTATAGTACTTGTACACATTTAACTTAAAATAACTAAAGACCCCCGGGATGGAATTTGATGTGCTTTGGGACAGATGATCATGACTATATACCTATACCTTTCAAACAAATGTAGTTTAGCCGTGGCGGACGTGGGTGCAGCGCTCATACATTTTTGCCCAATGTCCTTTCAACTCGATACCTCCACGCGATCCCGAGATAAAGGACCGACACACGGACAACAAAGTGATCTTAGGTTGGGGAAAAAGTCTTTTCGCATTATAGTATGTGACATGAACTTGTAATTAAATTTCTTTGGCTATACCCTTTCTATTTCGCTGGTTTTGGAATCATTAAAAAGTTTACATTTAAAAAAAATATCTTACCATAATATACTGTTTGCTTTATGAATTAACTAAAAAAAGGACGAAAATTAAGAAGCGCGTTGATTAAAGCCATATATGTATCCCGCCTTTCGTTGGTAATCGGTCACTTTCTCCTCTCGCTGAACAATGTACTATTGAAAAAATTATACATTTCATAACGATAATATAAAATATCAACTGATAAAACTTGCCGATGCGTAATCATAGCAACTTTGATAATTTTACCGACAAATATGAAATATTAAGCTTTCTATCCATTTGTAACTCTGCTGTTGTAATACTGCATTCCAGCTACATGCTCAAACGACACCGTGTTTATACAATACGTATGTACCTCAGTTTCAACGGATAATGAGTGCTGTGGACACAGTGTCGGGATGAGTTATAAATAGAAATCAAATAAAGATACCATAATATATAAAAGAAGCCGGTTGACCGCGTCTAGTCGCATTTATCGTGGTCGCGCGCGGTCGTATGTGACCATGGCATCGACAAAATACATCGCGCTTGTTCTTTTGTTTATTGCAAGTGCCTCGTGCAAATCACCATGTACGTTACCTTATTTTGTTTTCATTTAAGTATTGTATTTTTATCGTATTATACTACTATATTATACTGTGCGTGTGTGTTCGAAATGTACGAAAAATATTACATTTGGCAAATGTGATTTATGTATGTAGGTACTTACTTACGTAGTTGGAAAATAAGGTACTCTTAAAAAATATTTAATATTGTTGCTGTGCTATGGAAGTTATAATATTTTGAAGAACAATTAAGCTTCACTTAAATATTATAATACTTAAAAAATAGTGATCTGAAACTAACATTTACTGAGTAAGTGTATGTACCTATAGCTAAAATTTAATCTGTCGAGTTTATGTTATTGTTTCTGAAAAAAAAGCGATAAGATATCAAACCAAACCATTGAGTATATTTCTATAGGTAGGTGCTTACATCCATACTGACATACACTACAAAAATTATTGGTTCTTATTAAAGAAAATAATCATAAATGATACAATGAAAGAACATAAAGATAAATATAATAATGAATATTGTTGTTCTTAGATAATTAAGACGGCCATTAACTCTTCATTTCGTAATAAAAGTTGACCCACTTTAAACTTTCATTACGTTCCTTTTTAGGTATACTTAATAGTAATATAAATATAAATAAATTATAAAAACAAAAGACTTTTATTGCTAACTTTTGTTTATAACATTTATTACACATTATCGATGAACTGTTATTCTGTTATATCACCACTCATAATAAATTTACTTCCAGATAAAATATGTGTACCAAAACAACACCTCAAAGCTTGCGAGGAAATGCTGCAAGTAGAAACAAAAAGCAAAGTTGCATTAGAATGTATCCCAGCTAGAGACAGGTAAAGTATGGTTTTGTAAATAAACTTTTAGTAGTAATAGTTCAAAATGTCATTAAAAAAGATTGATATTTCTTTTTGAAGTTTCCACAGATTTTATACTGAATTCTAAAATGCTTAAATTTTAATATATTACAAATAATGGTTTTGAGGCTTCAAATTACTGAAATAAAATATTTCTATAATTTTACCATTGCGGTTTCGTAATTATATAAAATTATTTAATTTAATTTTCAATCATCTTTACCTGAATAACGAAACCATAGCCAAAGCCATTCCCATTGAGTAAATCTTAAAACAATAACGTAAAACGGGGAAAACTGATGTAACATGAAAAGACCCAAAAATATTTTTTACTTGACATTGGCTGAACGCACAAACCGTGCATGCTATAAAAAAAGAAGAAGAAGACCCGAAAAGAATTTTGGCGGTTTTTGGCGGGATTTCATCGAGTGCGGTTGGTGTCTTATTTTAATTATTCTTAAATTCGTTCATAGTGGATATTGTGAAATAAAAATGGTGTGGTTTTGTGTTACAACCGTCTGCGTAACTGAAGAATTAGTGGAATAGTTAAAATATACGCCATTCCGGTCAAGTGGACGTGAGAATTTTATTGTAGTGTTGACTACCTCACAGAAGCTTATCGAAAAGGCCAACTCGATATATTTCGTGCCAAACACTCTAAGAAACATTAGAATGCGTCACACCGACATTCTAATGTAAAAACAAAAAGAAGATTAATTTAATTAAAGACTAGGATGTATGGGCATTGTTCCCTTTGCCTTCCCTAAAACGGGAGAACTTCAACAAAAAAAAAAGAATTTTGGCGGGAAGTCGTTCTTTTTTTAAATTCTGTTTGTGTATTTTACAAATTCCAATTAAAATCATTATTTTTTTGGATATGGTCGGTAAAACAGGTGTTAAAAAAATATTGTTATATTTCATTAAAAAATCATTGTATGGATTACAAAATTTATAAAATAATTTGAATGGGTGACACAAAAGGCAATATTTCCTATATTGCCATCTATGAAAAATTCCCTTAAAAATCCTATAAATTATGATTATTTTACTGTACTTACCAAGTCTTTTAAAAATATATCTCAAACAAATAAGTGTCATTCAAAACTATGTGTGCATTAAGTCCAATTTCATACCGTTGACTAATATTTAATATCCTCTAAATCGCCGTTGTAATAGATTCAAAATGTGATCTCCTTAAACTTGCTTTGCGTTAAATATACAAGACCGACATTCGTCTTGGAGTAACCTGCTTAATACTTAAATACTTAGCCTTAAATACTTAAATGCAGGCAGCAGCTCTGTCTGCATTTAAGTATTAAATTAAACATGACATCCTTTGAGATCACTAGAAATCGGACCCGTTAACCTTATAGACTCTCTCGTCAACTTTTCCATTCGTATTATGTATTAAGTATTTTTTTTTTTATTATAATCATTAATCCAAATGCACGAAAGAAATCCGAGCCTTTATTTACCATATCTTTTCGTGTCCGCCCTCCTACTCTTATCATTACCAAGCCATTGAAGTCATCAGGGCCATGTCAGGGTGTTATCCCATCGTCTTCATGTCTCTGCTTACTGTACTCATCCAAGTAGTAGATACGCGGTCTACCTCGACCTTTTCTTACAAAATATGCTGTAGGTGTATACCTACAACATAGTTATATAAAAGTATTGAATTTAATAAATAAATAAGGTATCTAAAAATCTACTTAATTTAGATTGTTTAAAAATCTAGTTAATTTATAGAAGTTAATGAATAAATAAAAAAAAACATAAATTAAGATAAGAATCTTCTACTTTTAGAATGGAGTGTTTGAACCATGTACAGCAAAGACAGGCTGATTTCGTGCCCGTAGACCCTGAGGATATGTACGTGGCTACGAAAATACCAAACCAGGACTTCATTCTCTTCCAGGAGTACAGAACTAAGGATGAACCTGACGGTATGTGAAAATGGAATATAATGATAAGATTAACACTATTAACTATGAGATATTAACTACTCACAACTCTAAATCAATAAGAAGAAATTCAATAAAACGGTGGCCTAACCGTTTAACGTAAAATACCTACTTACACTTATGCATAAACGATGTAGAAATAATGATATTATGTATTTAAAGTTTACTAAAAATTCAACAAGTAATTTGAAAGGTTGAATGGAATCGACAATCGCTCTCTAAACGAAAGCACCATTATGCTACCGGAACCTAAACTGCGATCCAACAGACAGATCGAATTTCCTCTCGTTTTTCATAAGCTGCAATTCAGCACCACTCTTCGCATTGTAAGTAGTTAAAGCTCCAATCCTAATTCGATTCCAGGCTTGGTACCTGGGACAAGAATTTATTTGAAATACCTACCTACTTATAGTTTTTCCTTAGATATAAAAATCTAGCAAACAATTAATTTTGGTCTTTCATTAGATGGCTAGCCATTGTAAATGAAGATCTTTACTAGTAGGTACACATTATTAATTCAGAATTACTACTTTTACATACCAAAAATACCTGTGTTGCTAACAAAACCAAAAAAGTGATAAGTGGGTGCCTTTAGCAAGCTTTTTTATCTATTTATACAGTACAATGGAATTGATTAAGCGTATACTTTGACAATGGAAACAATGGATCAGGTTATTGCGTAACGCTCGTAGGTTTATATTCAAACGAGAGAAAGTCCGAACATTGATACAGAATTTGACAGTGAACAATGCAACGCGATAATTCAATTGATCTACCTACAGGTAGCCAGCATTTATTTACAACTAGCTGTGCTCCGCTGTGTTACCCGCTGTTTATTAAGGATACTTTCCCGCAGTAAAACGTAGCCTATGTGTTAATCCAGGGTGTCAGCTAACTCCATACCAAATTTTATTAAAATCGCTCCAGCCGTTTAGACGTGAAGAAGTAACGATCATACACACTCACAAACTTTCGCTTCTATAATATTAGTGTGATGCCGTAAATCATCAATAACATTAAATTACGATATCTTGTTTACTTTAAGAGAAAAAATCAGCACACATTATAAATAATTTATCTTATTTATTTTATTTATTTATTTAAACGTTATTGCCACAATTACAAAATGGACAAAAGGCGGACTTAACGCTAAAAGCATTCTCTGCCAGTCAACCTTTAGGAGTACAGAAAGACACGAATGCGGCTTTAGTAAAGAAGTAATTAACTAATATAAACATAATATAATAGAAAGTACTTATCTTACACATAATAACTAAATATACATGAGCACAAGACATATAGATATATATATACACACACACATATACAATAATATATATATATATATACACATACATATATATAAAATCTATCGATGATGAGACTGAAAGGGACTTATGAAAGGAGTTTAATGTTAGTGTGGAAGGCTATCCAGAAGAAATGCATGAATTTTCTTTTTAAAAATTAATCTATTAGGTGACTTTCTAATGGAGTCAGGGAGGCTGTTCCAGAGTCGTGAAGATTGAAGGGCAAAGGAATCAGACATATAGCCAGAGTGAACGAGAGGTTGAGATAGAGCAAGAGTATCACTAGAACGAAGTTGAAGGTTATGTGTGTCACAAAGATACTGAAATTTGGATCTTAAATAGTCTGGAGAGTGTGGGTTAAAGAGAATTGTATACAGAGTACATAACATTCTCTGCTGTCTTCTTTGACGTATAGGAAGCCATTTAAGTTGATACCTGTAAGCAGATATGTGGTCAAATTTACGAAGACAGAAGATGAAGCGGATGGCATTGTTGATAAGACGATCCAATTTATTTAGAAGATCGAGGTAACAGACATCAGCATAATCAATGAGCGGAAATATAAGAGATGTTACAAGCAAAATTTTTGTTTTGATGGGGAGAAAATTTCTGAACCGATTCAAGAAACGAAGTGAGTAAACAATCTTGCGGCTCACTTCGGCAATTTGTGTGGTCCAGCTGAGAGAGGAATCAATGTAAAGACCAAGATTTTTAACACTTAAACTAAGCGGCAGTATTGTGCCTTCATACATGACAGGCCGGAGAGAACTATGGTCAATTTTAGCTATTTGTTTAGAGCCACCTACGATAATGGCCTGACATTTAGTTGGATTCACTTGAATTCCAAAGTCAGCAGACCAAGCACTGATACGTTGCAATTCATAATTTATTATGGAAATGGCCATATCAACATCCTCAGCCAAAGTCTGGGTATAAATTTGTAGATCATCAGCGTAGAAATGGTAGGAGCAGCTAAGCGAGTAGGAAAGGAAGTTAATGAAGGCAGAAAACAACAAAGGAGAGATAATACCACCCTGGGGTACAACAGCATTCAAGGTATTCCACTTTGAAAGGTTTTGTCCAATACGAACTGCTTGTTGACGGCCCCAGAGGTAGGATGAGAACCAATCCAGTGACATTGGTGAGAAGTTGTAGGATTTCAGGATAACAAGGAGAATATCGTGGTCAACCATATTAAAAGCGTTAGAGAAGTCTATGAGTACCATGACTGTAACCAACTGTTTCTCCATGCCTATCCTGACGTCCTCAGTAACTTTGAGCAAAGCCGTAGTGGTACTATGTCCAGGGCGAAACCCAGACTGAAAAGGAGTGAGAAGATTATTGGAAAAGATAAAAGAGGATATTTGATGATGAGCAACTGCTTCAAGAACTTTAGAAAGAAAGGGAAGGATGGAAATAGGCCTGAAGTTACGCTGAGGAGAGGAAACTTTTGGCAGAGGAAGAACAAAAGCTTTACGCCAAGCTAGAGGAAACTCACTGTTTAGAAGAGAGAAGTTGATAATGTGCTCAATAGCTGGAAGAATATAGTTGATATATGATATCTTCAAGTTATAGTTGATATCTTCAAGTGTCTATGATTTTTTTTAATTAATTACCCAAATAAAGTCCATTTCTTATAGCGAATCCTTTTGTAATATTCCAATGCACTTTACCCGAACGGAAATACTTACTTAGATAACAATCCAGAAATTCTCCAAAACAAATTTTGAATTCCGGAAGCACTGTGTGCAATATATATTCGGAGCATCTCTGCTGCGGCTTAGCTGATATATATACATACATACCTATGTTCATAACACCTGGATACCTCTTCGTGTAAATTTATAGTCCCCCGCGGCAATCCATTCCTGCGGCCTGCGGCGGCTCTGTGTTGCTACATTCTGAATAATCCCCAATGGTGTAACTTTTGTGGGCCACACATGTTCTGTTGACATTTGCTATGGTAGCGGCACGCTACGATGGCCGTTTTGGCGTTTGTGCGTTCATGATGTTTCATAATCTTAATGCGAAATTTGTTCTACATTTGAAATAAATTTTTCGAGTTTAAAAAAACGACGGGTTGCACTCCGGGAGTGCCGGCAGAAGTGAAAACTTGAATATTAACGTTGTGCACTTTTGATATTTTGGAATGGTTAGGGAATAATTTTGCACGAATTGCTTTAATTATCAATATCAAAAGTACATCATTTATGTGGTAGAATACAATATTCATTTATTGCGCTATCGTACACACACATGACAATTTATATTACATTAATAAGTTTATCTTTCAGAAAAATAAACTAACATGAATCACATTTAAGCGCACCTAACGTCATCTATTGTAAAAAAATCAACTTACATTAATCACATTTAAGCGCACTTAACGACACCTATTGTAAAAAGGTATTTTCTTCGCATTAAAGCTGCCTGGACCTGGACGTCTTAGATAGAGACTTATTATTATAATACGATAAAATATAAAACATTACTATGTTTCGTCCAATGTATTGAAAGTCAACAACCTTTCCAATTTTATTGTTTTCGTCCTAAGTTTTGATCTGACGAATTTTCGATTAGGTCACGTGTCCTGAAGCGAAGCGAATAATATCATTTTTGACTCAAAAACATCGACCTTTTGACAGATTTTTTTAAAGGATTAAGTAAATTAATTTAAATAATTGTTTTATAGTTATTATCATTGAGAAATGTTTCGTCATAGAAATAATAATATAATGCTTATTCGCCACATAACTCGGCATTTGTGTTGCTCGAAATTCAAAACGTAAAAACATGAAATGAATAAGAGCGTTACATATAGGATCGTGAGCGTGAGTAAAAAATTATGTTTTCATTTTATTCAATCTTTATAATCAGCAACTTTTTATAATATTCGAAAAAAATGTCAAAATGTTTAATACATAGATGTGACTCGTATTTGATTATACAGATTTATTTTCGATAACAGGTTGACTTTTTGCGTCAGTATTGCAATGTGTTAAAACGGCCATCTTATCGTGCCGCTAATCTACTATATAAAAATAAGTTGGGTTTTCCTTCCTGACGCTATAACTCCAGAACGCACGAACCGATTTCCACGGTTTTGCATTCGTTGGAAAGGTCTCGGGCTCCGTGAGGTTTATAGCAAAGAAAATTCAAGAAAAATTAAAAAAAAAATCGTTTTCTTTTAATCACAAAACGAAATGTTACATAAAACGAAGCTATCTGATCGCGAAACGGAGTTCGCTGGGTTTGCTAGTCCTTTATAAAATTTTAATCTAACAGATGCTAAAATCCTAGAGAATTAAAAACGAAATGAGGTTAAAGTAATTCCTGCTGATTGTTTTAAATTCCATTTCAGACCAGGATTTTAATTGAAAACTTTTCTCGGATAACCCCTTTCCACCAATAAGAGGCAGCCGGTGTCGTGGTGTCTTTGTTAACGGGCTTGTTGTATGAGAACATAAAAAGCAATGGCTGCGATGCAACTCAGGCAGCCCCGACGCCCGCCGGCGAAAACCGCTCCTCCACATGCAATAATAGAGAAATGAACAAAAGGAATATTAAAATTATTTGCTTTTGTGTTTGAATCTAATGTCAATTTTTATGTATTAATTATTTAATCTGGAATATCAAACAAAACATGGCTTCTAGTGGTGCCTAAAATAGGTTTACCTATTTGTTTATGGGAGGGAACTTAATATTTAATACAAACCTACATACATGCTGCTTAACTAGACTAAGTGTACAAGAAGATACTTCTACATCATCTACAAATTAATGTCCCCACTGCTGGGACATTATTTTCTCTATTGAAGGGATAACGGATCAGAAACCATCACACGGGCAACAGGTTCATGTGCCTTCCGATCTATGAAGGATATCAAGATTTATATAGATAAGTAAATTTCTGGGGGCTAAACGCCTAACGGGATTGCTACGGTTATCGCCATCGCTTACGATTTCATTTTGTTAATTCTGACCGCCGAAGCTTTTCAAATACCTCACGCTCATTTTCTTTAATATTGTTATTACCAATGCAAAATAAAAAAAAGAGCGCGAGGCATTTCAAAACCTTAGGCGTTCAGAAATAACAAAATGAAATCGTAAGTGATAGCGATAGCAATTCTGTTCTTCTCCCTGGTCGGCCATTCTATGTATTACCAGCCATTGCGAGAAGTGCTAAGTAGATAGGTACTTTCTGACATACCACTATTTATTACCCATACATAACTATGTATGGGTAATAAATAGTGGTATGTCAGAAAGTGGTATTTTTAACTAAAAACTTATTATGTGTTTAATTTGTTGTGTGTTTTTTAATGAATAGTCAAGGACTCGCCGATCCTTAACAGCAAATTTTCATTAAAGTATATTTTATAATCATGTAGGTAAACTTTTTTTTCCTTTTCATGCTTGATGTATGAAGGTACCTAGTTAAGTAAAAATGTACTTATTATGTCCTTTTCTCATCATCACAAAACAATTGTTTAACGGTCACCTTCTAAAAATTTACTAACCTTTTTCCGTAGTCTGTAGTCAACCTTTTGTTGAAAAAGGATTTTTCAATTCGGTTTATATTTCAGCGGAGTTCCGTTACGAAGCTGTAATCGTGGTGCACAAGGATCTGCCAGTAAACAACTTGGACCAGTTGAAAGGCCTGAAGTCTTGCCACACCGGGGTCAACAGAAACGTGGGCTATAAGGTGAGATGATCATGGATCAGAAAAATGAAAAAAAGAGAGAGTTCATGTAAGATGTATAGAAAGCTAAAATTATGTAGGTAAGTTAAATTAGTGTTAGTAGGTGAATTGTAAAAAACATTCTAAATTCAATAGCGTTTATTCAGTTTAGGCTGCTACAAGCACTTATGAATGTCGGAAAACTAGGTATGCCATTGTGATGAATGAGTTGCTTGTATATTTTTTCTCCATTGTTTAGAAAAACGGGAAGCCACAAATGAATCACCGTAAGACGATTCAATCCTCAAAAGACACTGTGAACTCAAAAACAAAAAAAACTAACTACCTTTTCAATGAACGTATACGTAACGTATACTAAAAGTAACGATAAAAAAGGAATGTAAATTCGAATAGCTTATGCAAACACAAGTAAGAATGGGGTGTACACTATAAAACACAGAAAATAATGTATTTATACAGTACCAGGAAGCACAGGAATCAATAATTATATTACACAACTAAAATTAATAACATCACATGGGTACCTACATAAATCAATTACAAACCACAGCCAATGGCAGAGGCATAGCCCAAAGCCACTTATTCATTACAATTTTCCAGCAGACGTCGCCTAACAAAAGGACGTCCTTTCCATTTACGCTAGAACACAAGTCCATTAGCCGTACCCCTCAGTAGGCGACAATTAATAGCCCCACCGCACTCTCATATTCCGCGTGACACCCGAAAACATTAACTAGATGAACGCACAGAAAATTCGACTCGACATTGACATATTAGGCGCCTTCAACGTAAAGCCTAATGCAAAACCAAATTACTGCGTGTTTCACCTGACGTCTCACATGAAGTATATTGCATATAGCTATATGATTCTACAACAGTATCACAGATGAACGTTATGAATTTGAGAGGACAAACATCCTTGACATACAAGATTGCCCGTATTGAGGAAAATAAAGAACAAACTTTTTGTTGAAAACATAAATAGATATCAAAAGAAATTTTTAAGTGTTTTTTACCAAATCCTGTCTGTTGCCAAATTCTTCAGATACCAAAATCTAGCAACAAATCTTTTAATAACAATGTAAGAAAGAGCAAAAGTAGACCCATTCTTAAAATAAATTCTTGTTGTTGTTGTGTCCTTGAACTTTTATTAAACACTAAATAAAGTTTACTAACGTCCAAACTAAAATAATTGACAGATAGAATTGTAGGTATTCGGCTTATTATTCGTAAAACAAAATAACAAAGTTTGTTGAAGTAATAAACAAACAAGTATCGACATGAGAAACAGATAATTCGCAAGCTTTCCTCGTCCAATACTAGCCGGTGTGTTCAGCTGATAGTCAAATATTCTCACGAAACAAGTTCTACAAGTTTACAAGGACACTGCCATACTTACTATTAAGCGTTTAACCAGTTCCAATGTACCATCAATCTTCATATAAGGACACATTGTAATAAGCCCAAAGTAATACTAAGTAAGTTTTTCATGGGACAAAGCTACTATGTACGGAATTATAAAGGTTTGATCAGGATTAAAAATAATACTGGTAAACTTTAAATCTACATGATTATGATAAGAAACATTCAAACAGACATCGTAGTTAAGATTTAATTTTAATAATCTGAAACTTATTATAGCCAATAAGTAGTTTTTTAATGTCATATGTAATATTTAAATAAATATATATTGCTATCCGGGCGAATGCACTGACCATTATGCTACCACGGCTCTAATAGGGCCGTGGTAGCATAATGGTCAGTGCATTCGCCCGGATAGCGAAGGATGCGGGTTCGAGTCCCGTCCGCTGCCTGGCCCGCGTGGATTTTTTCTTCTCGTAAACTTTTCTTTAGATTTAAACATCTAGCAGTTAAATGCTTAAAAAATAAATAAAATCAAATATATATTGTTTACTTTTTTACTGAGTGCTTATCTTTAGCAACCTATAATAGTATGAAAATACTTCACGGCTGACGGAAAAAAGCTTCCTTCAAAGGTTTTTTACATTTGACTTATATGTAGGTAGGTTTGAAATAGGTACTTCACGTATACTACGTGAAGTACCTATTTCAAAAAGTTATGATAGTTTTTTCAATAGTTTCAGCTTTTCATTAATTCGTTTGAATAAAGTACATTTTCAGTGGATTACATAAATACATTAATTAATAACAATAAATTCTGAATTATCATAATTATATTTAAAGAATTTAACTGCTATTGATGATGTTTTGATGTTTAAATGTTGAAAGTTGTAAAGAAGTTTAAATCTAAAGAAAATTTTATTAGGAAAATTGCACTCCGTTTCCAGGTTTCAGACGGGATTATTTCTATAGAAATAAATTCTAATTAATAAATAAAACATTAATACAGAAAAACGAAGATAAATACGTAACGCGAACGTATCTCCGTAGGTATTTGCCCTAGATCACCTCTATTTACGATTTCTGTTTATCGCTTCTATCACGGCAGCCCTACCTTCGGCCGAATCGCAAACCCCTATATTTTTTACACGAAAATCCCTATTTTGATGCCGAAGAAGGAGCTTTATGTGGAAATGTATTTTTCTTTTTCTCAACACTGATACAAAAACTTAAAGAGTATGTTCTGGTAAGATAAGCTGAACAAAGGTCAAACAAATACACTTAGTCGGTATAAAGATACTTACTATAAAACCGTTCCTTCATCCTTTAAGATCTACTTATTTACAAGCTCTATAATGATAAGTATCGATATGCAAATCGTCACTAACAGAATATGCAATCAGGTAGTTTTCCGCGTCTATTTGTATATCTGCAATCACGATTTTGGTAAAGTTTTCACCAACATTATCAAAAATGTTCTCCGATACAAAATTTTTAGTTTACACTGAAACAAAACGAGATCGTGTCACTAGTTTAATTTACATCAGTTCAACAAAAAATTTAAATGAGCTAAACTCAAAATAAGTAAAACTTTTTGTAGTATCTTTTGTAGCTTAAGAATGGCTAGAAGAAGTTCGATGCGGCCATCAGGGCCGCGGTAGCATAATTGATCAGTTTCTTCTTACCTTATTTTCTTTAAATTTAATACTCTTAAGTTATATATCCTAATTACTACTAAGCCATTATATAAATATGTAATCCCAAAATTTATTCCCAGATACCTCTGACTATGCTGATGAAGCGTACCGTATTCCCCAAGATGAATGACTACAGCATATCACCCAAAGAGAATGAATTGCGGGCTCTTTCTACTTTCTTTTCGCAATCGTGCATCGTGGGCAAATGGTCGCCAGATCCGAAGACGAATAGCGCTTGGAGTGAGTTATAATACCTACTTTAAAAATTACAGCACTTGAAAAAAGTCTGTAATTAGACATTTTTGTGCTGTACATTGAAATCTTTATAGTTTATGTTATTTACGAGATTGCTGGCTATGTTCCTTGTTTTTTTGCGAGTCCCGATGTTTCGACTCTGTTGCAATACCGTAAATAACAAATTACTATAACCTTAGTGTCGATAAAAGTTTCAAACAATACTTTTATTGAAATCTTTCTCCTTTTCAGCACACTTAGTCTGTCTAAATTTTGAAATGTCCTAATCATATTTTTTTCTCTCCCAGAGGCACAATACAGGCAACTATGTTCTCTTTGCGAACATCCGGATAAATGTGACTACCCAGACAACTACAGTGGTTATGAAGGAGCTCTAAGATGTTTGGCTCACAATGGCGGTCAGGTTGCCTTCACCAAAGTCATCTATGTTCGCAAATTCTTCGGGGTAAGTTGCGCATTTTATTGTTCACGTAGAATAATTTTCGTTTATGTGATCAACACAATTTATTAAGTTTAAAGGAAAATTTTTTTTTATTGGTGGTGTTATAAAATTAAAGACTTCATCACTTTGGATAATTGCTCTAATACCCAAGATATTTAAACGTTACGAGAAATAAATAGGTATAGAAAATTCCTCAATTACTTATCTTACACAATATTTTGGCGAAGGTTAAGTTAAACTGTTTAAATACTGCGATATCTAGCTTTTTATAACATAGGTGTCAAATATAACAAACGCTAGACTTATGAGGAAAATAGAAAACACAAATAAACAGAATGTTTTATTATCCGATCAAAGACGCACTTCTGTAAGGAAATGTGTTTATCGAATCAATTTCAGTTTGAGTGTGCCCCCAATGGGACTTTTATCCAAGTCCAAGTGTCATTCAAAATAATTAGAGGCGTCCGGGATGCCTTTAGGCAAATAACTGCCTCTTTTCCTCAGTTGAATTTTCTTAGCTGCCTAAATAAAAGATGGATGACCTCCGTGGCGCAAGCTGTATGTACGTCGGATTTCAGTGTGCCGCTTACTCATTGGTCTCGGGTTCAAATCGGGGTGGGGCAAATGTTAGTATGATTAATATTTATGTATATGTATTTCTAGATAAATATAACTTATGTAATTTATCATTAGAGATATGTATTCTATCCGTTACCTTAGTATCTCATTTCATAAGCCTTACAGTGCTTATTTTGGGCTAAGTGGTGTAGGTGCTTAGAAATATTATTTTTTTAAGTGTAACTTTTATTACAATACCACAATTTTTTTCGTACATCTTCAGCACACCGCTTTACTTTGTTGAATCTTATTAAGACATTCAGACTATATCAAAATACATCGGTGGTTTAGTGGTAGAAATCTAGCCTCAAACGCAGGCGGTCCGGTTTTGAATCACAGCCGTGAAAATACTTTTTTTATTAATACTTTTGAAAGTTTCACTTGTATCGAGGTTTCATAAAACCACACAAAATCTGTAGACATTATTTTAATCAATTTTTATTTTTAGTACACAAATTCCATGACACTTACCAATAAAGTGGTTTCCTGTTACCAAAAGAATTCCCAAAATCAGTTCTCCTATCGGTCCTCCGGTAGCCCTTTGTCTAGATCACCTAAAGTCTGGGTTCGAATCCCAGTCGAGGAAGAACATCTTTTATTAATGACTAGGGGCCGCCCGCGACTTCGTACGCGTGGAGTTAGTTATTTGCACATACTTTTTGACCCCTGTTCACTGCTCGTTCCCCGTAGGTGATAGCGTGATAATATAATAATAATAATAATAACCTTTATTTCTCACCATAATCACAATGTTCACAATGTTGGTATTAATGGCTACATAAAAACAATGATATAAAAAGCATGCATTTTTTTTTACCAAAAATAAAAGGTACGTATTGATCAGATTATGGTGGGTTGACACCTGAACTAGGATGAATCCTGTGTCTCAGGTAATCAACCATCCACCCTATTCATAAAGTTGTGTACCATTTAGTAAACAATTTATTAATCCAGATAACTGTTCTTAAGTTATTAATTCAATGGAATAGCCAAAGGAGTTTGTTATGTGTGTGAGTGTGTGTATGTGTATGTGTGTATGTGTGTGTGGGTGTATGTGTGTGTGTGTGTGCATCTTATAATGTTTAACTTATTATTTTGAATATCGTTTCTGTATTTTTGTAATCTAGCGTTTTTAAACTTTTTTGAAGTGCAGTTTTAAGATTATTTCTATTTAGTTTAATAATGCTGTTTAAATCATTGTAATATCTATATAAAAATGGACTTATGATATATATGTAGCCTATATGTTTACCCGACTTCTTAATAATATTCGTACCATATTTAAAGTAAATCCATGCAGTATTTTTTGAGTTTATTGTACATCCATACAGACAAACAAACAAAAATTCTAAAACTATATTTTTGGCTTCGGTATCGATTGTAGATCACACCCCAAGTATTCTTTTTAAAAAATATTCAATGTACAGTTTTGAGCTTCTTACCATTTTTTATATGTATAGATTTTAATAGTTTCACTTGTATCTTGGTTTATAAAACCACACCATTTTTTATCACTAGCTCCCGGTCGGAACTATCCCAGCTAGTACGTCAAACGAAAACCCCGATGATTTCGCGTACCTCTGCGCTGATGGGTCTAAGGTACCCATCAGGAGCACGGCTTGCTCGTGGGCCGCGAGACCTTGGCAGGGCCTGATGGGCCACAACGATGTACTAGTCAGGATATCACCGCTGAGGGAGAAGATAAAGCAACTCTCAGAAATTGGTAAGTTCAGTGATGATTTATTTATTCTTTATTACCAAAACAGTAAATATTTGTTTCTTAGGTTTTCACGCACATCACTCTTTATTGTTTATTTTATTAAATAAAATTAGTTTTTACGGGTTAGATTAGGTTGAAAAGATTGAAAACGCTGCGAGGCGTCAATAAGTGAATAAATTCAGTGCATCTAACCCGTAAAAACTAGTTTTATTTAAAACAGTAAATTTTCTACCAGTCAACCAATAAGGATTGTAGGAGACGAATTTTATGGCGATAGAATACAATGGCTATATAGTAGCTATCATGACTTATTCCATTATTATGATCTTGGAAATTAAAAGGCTTTTCCTCAAAATTTTAATATAATAGTTTCCTGCAGTACCTGTACCTTAACTTTTGGCCCTAAAACGAGCTTAAATTAAAAAATAGGTCACCCTAAATGTGTTTAGCTCAGAACGATTTTTTTTCTTTTGATTAATACAATTTGTAAAATATATTTTAATAATTCTGTTTTTTCGAGCCAAGTAGATCTGATCTGAAATATTAATAAAAAGATATGCAAGTTAATTTAAAATTTAATACATGTAATAGTTTCAGTTTTAAAGAAAAGTCGAAAAACTAGCTATTTTTACTACTTTTTTTTCTCTGTAAAAATATCCCTGCGCCCCATATTGGTTTCAGTGTAGATTTTGTTCACACGGGCCAAATGTTTTTCCGCTAAATTGGGTCTAACTCGATGTATCATGCAAAAGGTTGACATTTTAAAGGGTCTTCTCTTTTTTTAAATTAAGGATTAATAAATCCTACAAGGCCCTTCTAACCTCTTTCTATGTTCTGTGTGTTCAAGGTAAAACCCAGTTATATTAACAATTTGACATTCGCAAATGTCTAGCCACCTTAGGCTATGGTGATCTCTTACCATCAGAGAAAATCAGTAGTTTGCTTGTATGTCGCCAAATTCATAAAAATATATGACGACCTCCGTGGCCGAGTGGTTTGTACGCCGGGTTTCATGGTGTCGCCGACTCGAGAGGTCCCGGTTTCGTATCCCGGTGGGGGCTGATGTTTGTGTGATGAATACGAGCATTGGTACTCCAGTCATGGATGTTTAATATGTTTTTCTAAATAAATATATAGTACAGTATATGTATTCTATGCGTTACCCTAGCATCCCATAACATAAGCCTTACAGTGCTTACTTTGGGGTTAGGCTAAATGGTACGAGTGTTGGAAATATTTATTTATTTATATTGTCAAAACATGGGTTCCTGTCAGGACTCGCAAGCAAGCCGGAATGGTTCACTAAAGTATTGGGACTCTCCGAGAAGATCAACCACGTAGCAAGAAATGTGCCCATCAAGCCAGTGGACTATTTGAAGAAAGCCAACTACACGGAGGTCATTGAACGCGGCCATGGACCACCGGAACCCGTCGTCAGGTAAATATTTTTCGATTACTTAAGTGATAAGTGATTTAATAGAGGCATAATAATGTAAGTACAATAACTAATGTCTGTAAGACAAGAGCGGCAAAGTGTAATATTCCTCCTTTTAAAACCAAGTTTGCCTCGAGATCATATGACTTTGTGGCACCTTCAGTCTACAACGTGTTACATGCTAAACTTAATCTAAGGCAGTATACAAGCAGACAGATAAAGCAACAGATCTGTAATTATTTATTGGAGTTAAATGAAATAGGTTTAAATATCCTTATGATGCCTCTAAGTTAATGACGATGATGAAATTAATTCAAGTTCAGGAGATTGGAATGGATCAGGTAAAATTGCAAATTAGTAATACAATGGCAATAAATAAAGCATTTATGGGAACCGTTATATATAAATACATACACACACAAAAACACACACATGCGCGCATACGCTCACACACACTCACACACACACACACACGCACACACACACACACACACACACACACACACACATACAATTACATTTTTATTTTATTTTTTTTTTATTATTGTGTTTAAGTTGTTTCTTTAGCACTTCTCATATTAATTAACACATTAATCACATAAATGGTACAGGGGTGGCTTACTCTGTTCATGTAGTTTTGGGAGTGGAGGCCTGGTGTCTTGTAGAACAGGTTTATCCTATTGCAAGCACCAGTCTTCATATTAAGTGGTGAGGTGTTGTAATTAAGCACTTTATTGTAAATTTTTCTACTTATGTGAAGAAATAATTAAAGAATTTATTATTATTATTATTATTACTTAAAGGTTTTGACGGTTCGATTAGATAATACCTATTATGTGATGCGTCAGTCCAGCGTTGCCAGTTTTTTTTTGCCAAGTCTAGATTTAGGAACTTTTTGAGTGAAAAAAGCGGGATTCTTCCGTCGAAAGCGGGACATAGTGAAAAAACGTATATAATTAAAAGTTTTTGAATATTTATCTTTTTATTTGAGTTCAAATTACGTTTACGTGACACTATGGATTTTCTATGGATATTTTTACTAGATACCAAGTAAAAATATCCATAGAAAATGTATTTTAAAATAAAAATGATATTTTAAATCAGATTTACCCTATCGTTAAATAGTCGAGTCTCTGTTTGAGTTCTTCAGATTTTCACAAAAATGGTAAAAGGGAGTATTGTCATTAAATAAGTAGGTACTGCATAGATCTAATGTTTTGAAAGCCAATATTCATTTATAAAATAATACTATAAATGTTACCAAAATTTAGTTTTTAATATGTAAAAGTGATTTAATAGAGGGATTTTTAAATAAATATTGTTTTTGTTCAATAATATTCGAGTAACTTACTTCACTAGAATATAATATTTATACCTACCGTCCCTGCAGTGCAGTCTGTAAATTTTTAACAAAAATTTGCTAGATGAGGGATATCTATCAGATTTTACGATCTACCCTGGAAAATTGGATTCTTTCTCTTCTTATTCAACATGTAGTATCATACGTAAGCTGTCTCATAAACATTACCCAAACAAAAAGAAAAATATTAAACAGGGACACTCTGATCAGAGTCAGTCCTATCGTGACATCCATTTTGGTCGCTTACAACTAAGTAAGTTTATAGGTACTCCGTAGTTTTTATTTTAATGGATACAACTTTGCATGTCGCCCGACATGAATATTGAATGAATGTTATTTAAGTATCTTAGACACACTGGTAATTTACATATCCCACAAAGCCAATGAACTGCTCGCCAACTGCCCAGTATTATTAAAGGTCATTTGTAGTGTTAAAGCACTCATGGATCGTCAGAAATCATATATTTGGTTTGATAAAATATCTGGATAAATTATGTACTTATTTCTTTAACCATATACTACGTAATTGGAAACAATCACGAAATCACAGAAAACATGAAACACAATAAATATGATCGATCGTTTTATGTGGAAGAACCACGGAAGAACTGAAGTTATTTTTTTAATTCAGTAACAGAGATGTATGACGCGTGAATTACCCCTACCGATCGGCCTGAATAGTATTAGGTATGTGGGGTGAAAGATACTTTCTGAGTAAAGCTCTCGGATTCAAGGGGTAAATCCACTGTTTGGATTTCCTCATAAGTCGACGTAATCACAGATTACTAAATAAGTAATGCTTAGACAAAGTTAGTGTCCCATTAAAATACGCATTACGAAAATCACAATACCATCTGAATGCCCCAGTAGAATTTAAATGTCAATGATAAATAATGCATAACAAATAATAGGTACACTAAGCAGGTAAGTATTATATTTCCCCTATGTCATCAATTGTATTTTACCACAATGCGGTTACTAAGACAAGGCCTAAAGGAAAAAAAGATTAACAATAACAAGGACAGGAAAACTACTCAACAACTGTCTTAATGCTTGCAATATTATGAATCACTTTAAATAAAAAAAATCAGTGATCCATCACCATCAGTCACACGGGCGTTAACTCATACACTGAGTAACCAATCATACAATTTATTCCCCCCCTTCTAGTTACTTATAAGCTGAAACAACAAGACGCCACTAAAACCATCCATAATACGATTAACATCCTGGACAGAAACTTGCGAAGTCATTAAAATAAAAATAATATTAATCCTGGACTACATAAAGCAATAAAATTATAAGATAACTAGAGCTTGTTTACTGTAATGAGGTGAAGCTACAATAATTTCAAAAAATAGTTATCATTCCAGAAAACTAATATATACACTAGAACCATATTAGGATACGGAAATTCAGTATTCTACGCTAGAACAAAGAAACGAGCTTACTCGATTCTCTTCCTAATATAGGTTATCCATACGCTGTCAGCGCCTAAGAAGCTTTGCGTTGCGTGACATGACTACACCCCGATGTGATGTTTTAATTAAGATTATTATCTCTATATATAGTAATTCGTAAGACTGTTGTAGGCATTTAATATAAATACATGGGTGAGGTTTAATATTTCATCCCATCACATGAGATTGGTAAAAGCACGTTATATGCTAAGGGTGAACCTTGAGATTCGGATTATTCAATTGATTCCCTCGGCGCAATTTATTTTTATACTTTGTTTACAAGTAATAGGGAAACATAAATTTTACTTTGTTATAAGAATATTTATCGAATAAGCATCACTTTTGGCCGACTGGGTCCGAAGATAAATAGAAATTACATTTTGTGTAACGGGAGAATCAAGTAAAGACAGCAGGTACTGTTTTCCTCCAGGCAGCGAAAATTGAGCCTCTCTAGATTCACCCCTAAAAGCTTTTCTTGAGCCTAAGGGTATAACTTTACAAAAATACTACCATTGCTCGCTTTTCTAGGTAATCACTCAGATGCCCAATTGACAATAACGATGTGCCTAAAAAATGTTTGGGATTCTTACTACACCTAATTATATTTCCCAATATAAAGTTGAATAAGTTTCATACAAATATTATTTCGCGCAGGTAACATACGAGATTTACCCGGTATGGAGATAAAACTCGATAAATCCGTTTTAAGTATTCACTTACACTTGTCATTAAATGAATCTTTGTTCAAGAGTTCGTGCTTCGATACATCCCTTTAGAAATACATAGCATGAAAAACTTTTCCTAAGTATATAGCTTAGGTCTGGGAATGGGAATCTTTTTCGTAGCTCAGATAAAACGGCCTCTACACCAATAACCCTAAGGCATGTTGACCCGCTTACCTATTCCGTCTGTTGGATACATTTCTGTTCCCTTCATCTCTTCTCTGTCCTTATCACGCAAAAAAACCATATCTCGTGGTCAAACCAATTTAACTAAATATATTGCCTAGTAACAGGCCGCTTTCTGCTGCAACCCAAGGTAAATGAATGGCGAAGGTGGATTAGGGTCATACATATTATATTTTGTTTTTTCGTTGCTATCCGATGGATCGTCGCAACAATATGAATGAGATTGAAGATTTCAAATATTCAAGATTCAAAAAAATACTTTACGGATTCAAGACGCACGCATGAATAAAAGTTTGGTACCCTTATTTATCCCGACGACTACGACGGACGTTTCGACAAGGGGCCTAATTGTGTAACTTCCTTCCAGGAGTCCTTTCAGTTCATATTTGGGTATGAGATTAGCATATTATGTCACATTAACACTAGCTTTGAAGAACATCGAAAGATTTAAAATTCCACAATTAGCCTCAGGTTACACCGGCAGTGGCGCATCAAATTCAAGTATAGTGTTCATGTGGATACATTTTTTTAAAGTCCTCTGGAATGACGAGAAAAACTTCCATCGGAGCATGGCATTTAAATTCATATTTCTATTCTTACTTCAAAAAAAGTACTTTACTAACACGCAGAAGTTTTAACATTTGTTTGTTAACATTTGTTTGTATTACGGTATTCATGATTTAAAAAACCTTACCTTTTGGACTTTTGATAGCCTTTCTCACACAGGTTGTGCGTGACATCTAATGTAGCACTGGCCAAGTGTCACGTCATGTCCGTATTCGCATTCAGCCGTGACATCCGTCCAAAACTCGACTGCGTTCAAGAAGCCTCCGAAGCGGACTGTTTGAAGAGCGTAAGTATCCTCAAACCATTTTACATATGATACAAATATATACTAACTACACGCTTATCACAGCCATGTAGATCTGCACAAAGTTGCATCACCATTAGGCAAATGCAATATACTTACAGGTATACAGGAATACTCTGATAGCACTGCATCAGCGCCACATTTAGCATTGTTTGAACTTAAATTGAAGTCTCAAAACAAAACAATACTTGGTCAGTGCAACCGCCCGGATTACGGAGGGTGTGGGTTCGAGTCCCGCCTGGAGCGCGTGGATTTTGTTTTTAGTAAAATTTTGTGTAGATTTAAACAACTTTATTATATAAGATTTAAATAATTTAAACAACAACTTTGTTACCTGAGAGTTTACGATAAGTATAGATATCCGTTCTGCCTACGCTCAGAAGTAGGTACGGCTGAATGATGATCTACAAAATCTATATGAAAAACATAGTCCATCGTGTTTTCTTTTCGCTCCCAGCACAGAAACTTAAATCAGAGTTCTCTTGCTTGACAAAAAAGAAGCTGTCTAGACCATTAAGAGCTTTTGTTTCAACTTCCGCTGGGAAGTAAGAATTCATATATAATCCAAATTTAAGCTTCATAAATTTTACTATCAAACAGGTTCAAGATAACGGCTCCGATCTAGCTTCAGTAGACGACTCAAGAGTGGCAGCCGCAGCCAATAAATATAATCTACATGCAGTCTTCCACGAAGTGTATGGAGAAAAGAAAACAGCGAAATACGCTGTAGCTGTCGTTAAGAAGGGAACAACGTATAACAAAATTGACGACTTGAGGGGAAAGAGGTAAAATCAAATAATGTTTTGTTTAATATGAAAACCAAGATACGGATTAATTATTACTTGTAGTTAGTCAATAATGATGATTGTCCATCACATTTTGAGATAATAGATTGATATAAATAAAGAAAGGAAAGTCCATTAAAGTTTAAAAAATGATTGCAATTCATTTTACTCTAAAATTAGTGAACTACGTCAACTTCAGTAGGCTCACTTTGTTAGCTACGTTAGCTATGAACACAACCAAACATTATATTAAACTGTAATCGAATTCGAGAAGTACACTATTATTTAGCACTTCAAAATCTTAAATGAAATGATTTTCTTCTCACAATTAAACTATTTCTAAAGGTCCTGTCACAATCCTTATGGAACCTTCAGCGGTCTAGATGCGCCGTTGTTCTACCTCATCAACAAGAAGATCATCAAATCAGACCAGGTATGGAGTATACTAAGGCTTTGCCTGCATGGCACTAGAATTTAAAAACGTCATACTTTCATAGCTAAATCTTGATAACGTGTTCAGTTTGTAGGTATTAATTGATATTATTATAGTCTCGTTTGGTTTGTAATACAATTGGCGATACGATTCCACGATATACATATAACTTAGTACCTTCACGCTATATTATATTTCTTGAATTGCGAGATAGCTTGAAAGTAAATTATATAAACCAAACATACTACTTAATCATAACAAACAATGGTAATCAAAATCATTTATTCATAAATTTTATTATTTTTGAAGCATGTAACTGCTTGATGTTTAAATCAATGTTGTGGGTTACCTATAATGCGAAGAGATGGCGCTGCCTTGCAGCTTAAGAATGGCTAGAAGAATTTCGACGCGGTCCGTGAGGGCCGCGGTAGCATAATTGGTCAGTGCATTCGCCCGGATTGCGAAGGGTGCGGGTTCGAGTCCCGTCTGCTGCCTGGTCCGCGTGGAATTTTTTCTAGTTATATTTTCTTTAGATCATTTATTCAGTTTAGGCTGTTACAAGCACTCATGAATGACTAGAAGCTACGCCATCGGTTCGTAAATCTACGGCGGGAGACCTTGTACTAAGAAGAACCGGCAAGAAACTCAGCAAGAGCGGTTTTTCTCTCCCTGTTTTATTATTTACAGAGCCGTCAAGTTGAAAAAATACTTCAGAGATGATTCATAGGGATCATCTCATTACATAATGATTAAATATACATTAATTGTTTACCTGTATTTTGATTGCTGTGTCATACAGTATAAATACAAATTGTGTGATTTTATATTAATCTATATCTTCAAAATCAAGGAAGTTAGGGCAGACTCATCTCCGCTGGCAGTACCCGTTCACGAGCATGACGCCTGAACCAGCCATCGCTTCGCTCATCAATATTTAGGGAACGTAACGACCCGCCTCACATGACACCACCGAAGAGACTTTTTTATATACTCATACTTTTATCTTATTAACAATGAACTGTTATCTGCTAATAACAATGACCTTCTATAAGTAATTACTAAAGTTTAAGTCCTACCTGTTACTTGGGACACTTGATTATTTTATGTAAGTATTTCATATTTTCGTGTCCTTACAGTGCGTCAAGAATTTCGCTGACTTCTTCTCAGGCGGAGTATGTCTACCAGGTGTGGATAAAGCTGAAAACAATCCCAGAGGTACAAAAATCAAATCCACATGTATAAGATTTAACAAGCTTTTTGTTTAGTCACGGTTACCATTGAACTTATCAACAATAAACGTACTCTTTCATTTGCCACGGTAACTAACTTATTAACATTTTTCAGGTGACAACGTAGCCAATTTGAAGAAACAATGCTCTGGGGATAACAGTCCGTCTAAGTGTCTCGAAGAAAATCGCGCCGATGTTGCCTTTGTTTCAAGTAAGTAAGAAAAACTGCACAATAGCGATGTAAATTAAGAGAGATTGGATTTGGCACACGACGGGTATAGGTAGCAGCAAAATTCTTGAGTAAACCACAGACAGTTAAACCTGCGCAGTAGAGGTTTTTTTATATATAGCCAGGTAGGCAAATGACTCACAAAAGCGATGTAAATTTAGAGTTTGGCACACGACGGGAATAGATAGCAGCAAACTTCTTGAGTAAACCACAGACAAATAAACCTGCGCAGTAGAGGTTTTTTTATATATTGCCAGGTAGGCAAAGGACTCACAAAGCGATGTAAATTAAGAGAGATTGGCACACGACGGGTATAGGTAGCAGCAAACTTCTTGAGTAAACCACAGACAAATAAACCTGCGCAGTAGAAGTTTTATTATATATAGTCAGGTAGGCAAATGACTCACAAAAGCGATGTAAATTAAGAGAGATTGGCACACGACGGGTATAGGTAGCAGCGAAATTTTTAAGTAAACCGCAGACAAATAAACTTGCGCAGTAGATTTTTTTTATATAGCCAGGTAGGTAAATGACTCTACCCCACCTAATGTTAAGTGGTGATAAAGTTCAAACTTTACTTTGTTCTTTAGTTAAATGTAGATATCAAATGTAAAATATTTAAAAATTTAGTCTAATTAAATTATTATTATCAATAATAAATTCGAGACTAAATAGGAACTTAATGTGATGATTTTTATACTTACCAGGTACCGACTTATCCAACTTCGATACATCACAATACGATCTCCTTTGCCTAAACCGGGAATCCGGTGGACGCGACGCACTCACCAACTATGCCACATGCAACATCGCTATGGCCCCCTCAAGGACCTGGATGTCCGCCAAAGACTTTTTAGCTGATGTCTCCATAGCCCACACACCGTTGAGCTTGGCCGAACTTTTGGACGAATCTCCCGATTTGTTCAATATTTACGGGGAATTCTTGAAGAATAACAACGTTATCTTTAATGTGAGTATGTTAAAAATGGATTTAGAAAGACCTTATACTTTAAGTAGGTTAACAATCCTGTAACGTCACAACATTTCCTTCTATTTTTCAAACAATAAAGTTTCTTGAATTTTCTAAAACCAGTCTAAAGTTTTGCTAATATTTTACTGTTAATAATACAAATAAGGCGCAACTGAATCGAAATTGAATACTTATCACAGTATAAATTTAGCTGCATATCTAGATATGTTCAATTTAGGGAATAATATACCTATTGGGAATGGAAATAGTTTATATACAGAATCGCGCCAAAAAAATTTTTTTTATATGTCCTTTTTTTCTTCTTCTCTGTTGGGAAAGATAAAGGCAAAACCATGCAGCCATCGTCTTACTGTTTTATTAATCTACGTTTATTACATTAGAATGTGGATGTGACGCATTCTCGTATTTCTTGGAGTATTTGACACGATATGTATCAAGTCAGCTTTCTCGATGAGCTGTGAGGTAGTGGACATTACAATAAAGTTCTCATGTCCACTTGACCGGAACAGCGTATATTTTAAAGATACCGCTAACTCTTCAGTTGTGCAGACAGCATTGTAACACAAAATCACACCAATTTTATTTCACAATATCCACTATTAACGAATTAACGAAAATAATAATAATATTAAGACGCCAACCACACTCGATAAAGTTGCGCCAAAAACTCTTTTTAATTAAAAGAGGAAAGCCTCGAAGTAGAGAATTTTAATGGATGTCAAGTCTTTACAACCTAGTCATTAGATTATCACTCATATTTCGTCATTTTATATTTCTTGGAGGATTGAAAGAAAGTAAGTAATCAAATTTTGAGATTTTACATTAAATGTGTTTTTTTTCCTTTTTATAGAATGCTGCAAAGGGATTGGAAACTACAGAGAAATTAGACTTTGAAAAATTCAAAACAATCCATGATGTCATCAGGAACTGTGGAATTGCTTAATATTTTAAATTAAATTAAACATTTGTAAAGTTAATTACTAACAGTTTTGTAAGGTTGAAGAAAAGTCTGATGTTTAAATAGCTTGATCTTTATTTATCACTTATAAAGATGAAATGAAAATAAATATTAACCATTGAACAGTTGTTTCTATTATATTATGTCTATAACGCAGCTAAGAACAGTGTGGCAGCAAGAGCAGTTGCTAACATAGCATATCCCGTTGAATAAACTTCTTTGATGGTGAGGCCTTTAGCAGTATCCCAGTATAAATGTCTGATGCCATTAGCAAAGTGGAATCCGAATGGGGCAGCAAGCACCGCCTTTGCAAGGAAAATTGTAGCAGGTGACAAATTGAGACCTTCAATCATAGTGATATAATGAGAAATATCATTAGGTAGCATCAATGCACCAATACCCAGTGCACTAACATAAGTAGATAAGATCAGACCTGAAACAAAAATAATAAGGCTCAATTAATATGAAAGACTAAGATATAAACAAAATAAAAGAACAAATGAATTTTATAGTATGTATCATGTAAATTACCTAAATTTCAATCCGATGGCTACAAATATTAGATTAAAATTATACAAACATTTTGGTCCCTACAAATTTGAGTTAATACCTTACCTGCGGTTCGGTGAGTAATAGACAGCATACTAGTTAGCTGTGGTGAGTAAATGGTAAGGTGTGGTGACATTGGCCTCTTCAGTTTAGCATTTCTCAGGTCAGGGTGTTCCTCTTGTGGTGGTTCAAACTTTTTGTATGTTATTTTAGGAACCCCTGATGCCGCTTGAGCATAATTGACTTTGGTCAACACACTAGGAAATCTGTTTAACGTTGAAAGAATAGATCTACTACCTAACCTGAAAAATTAAATAACAAAAGTGAATTGTTGTGAATAAAGTTAAAAAAACAACAGTTACATAATGTTTGACAACCAACCTGCTGCATGTATAGAAAGCCATATTCAGACTTTTCCTGGTGGACTAAAGCACTGTTGGCTTCTGTAAGAAAGTTATAAAAAATCTTATTTTCTAATTATTACTGCCTTGATATTGTTACAAAAACTATTCACTTACCACAGGACTTATTTAAGCAAATACAAATGCAGTTCACTTGGCACTTTTGACAGTGACAATCTTTTTTGTCTTAAATTTTGTGTAGGGAAGCAATGAGAAATGAAGTCCATACAGTCTTATCTTCAAGGTGCGTTCAGATTAATAGTTGACTACGCTAAAGAACATAAAGATAGTAGTTTAGCCCGTATATTGTCGCGGCCATTTTGCGCATTATGGCGTTGACGGTCAAACTATTTTAGAAGTACCTCCGGCCACTCATCAAAATTATGATATTTAATAATTTATCTATGAAGACTATGTTAAAACCTTATATTACTGGCCTACTTATTATATAAGCTATAAGATTATGTATAATCGAGTATAGTTTTATTGTAAATTTAATTACTAATTAGAAGGTTTCTCCAGTTTTCTGCATAAAACATCTTATAATCATAATTAAAAGGCTTTGATAGAAGTTATACTTGGGTTGTTTATCACAGGATAAAATATTTAACAAAAAACATTGAAAAATATACACTACCTCATACATTTTTTTAATCGTAATATTCCGTGTAGGCTTGTTGAAAATATATCGATATTTTTTGTTCGATGTATTGATATTTTTTGCCGATATATTTTGATTCGATCTATCGATACATCGATACAAAATAACCAATATCGAAATTCGTATCAAAAACGATATTTTTTTAATTATTAGCGGCATATCACGATCTAACTAAATTCGTATCTGGAAAAATCGTAACTGGATCTCAGATTAATGATATTCAACATATCTATGATCTGTGCTGTATTTAGTATTGTCTATTTCATCATTCGAAAATAGGGTCTATTTTTAGGGAGATAATTTTCGTTCCATTATTATTGAAAATTGGTCCGATATATCGATATATCGATGTTTTTTTCACGATATATCGAAGCCGATATTGATATTTATTAAAATATCGATGTATCGATATATCGATATTTTTTTCAACTTTCGACATCCCTATTCCGTGAACACTTGTCGCACCAAGACAGAATGTATGCGCGCTCAGTGTTGATTAGAGATCATATATCACTTGGCGGGAGTTATAATAATGTATGCCATCTTTGTTTTACTCCCTACACTGTAGTAAAGCTTGATAGAGAAGAGAATAGTTTAACCTTTAAAGCTAAATTAATCTCTAATGTGGCGCGGTATAGTATGAACGCCTTAGACTCACTTTAATGCATAGGTTTTGAACGAAGCCTAGCTCTACCTGACACCTGACAGGTGCCTGACACTGACATCATTCAGCAGTAAAATTTTTTCGGTCCGTTGCAACCGCGACTGCATGAGATAATTAGTTTTATTAAGTTACTTGACAAATGTTATTATTTCTCTTTAAAATACTTTAAAAAGCAGTAAATATATTTTGCTGCCAATGTATCGGTTGTTACTATTTACTATTGTGACAAGTAATTTAAGAGCAGAGTTCAGCACTGTTGTAGCCACTGCAGCGATGAAAGCTACTGATTTCGAAGTTTACGGCCGGGTACAAGGAGTTTTTTTTAGAAAGGTAAATGAAATGTTTCACGTAAGTGTAAAATTTATTTTTCGTGTGATTCAAGATCTTTCTGTGAATAAAATTTCCCATGGTGAAGGTTGTTATTATTTCTAGGTATTATATCATTCAATATTAAAACTACGAATATAGTTGCGAATATATTCGTAATTATACTAGCTGCATAAAAATAATTCGATAATAGACACCTTTTCAACAAATAATTACTCCTGAACCCAGAAAGGACAATTTTACTCTTCTGTGGAAAACCTGATACACAAATATTTGTTGTTTAGTTTCAGTGAATGAAGCTCTCAGGATTGTTTGTAAAATTTCAAAATATGCAGTTTGAATACAAATTTCAAAATATGCAGATTGGATAAAAGTAAACAACTAGTGAAGTTATTTAGCTAGCTTTATTTTTGTTGAGTTCTGTTTTATAAGCAATGTAGTTCTGCTGCAGAACTGCATTCAATACCTACACTGGTGTAAGAAGTGTCAAATTTGTCATAAGTTTCATACATTTTATATCAAAATTTAAATGTCATGGTAAAATGTTGCGCTATGAGCGTAGGTTGAGAATGCAGATCAGTAAGCAAAGAAAATGACTGATAATGATTGATTACCTGAGACACAGGATTCATCCTAGTTCAGGTGTCAACCCACCATAATCTGAACAATACATACCTTTTATTTTTGGTGAGAAATTGCATGTTTTTATATCATTGTTTTTATGTAGCCATTAATACCAACATTGTGAATGCTCTTTGAAATTACTCTATGTACATGTAGCTATATAGGAAGTTAATAATATGACACATCTAAATATATAAAAGAAGAAACTGACTGACTGACATCAACGCACAGCTCAAAACGCTAGGTCTAAAGACACCAAATTTGGCATGTAGGTTCCTGATGAAGTCTAGGGATGCTCTAAGAAAGGATTTATCAAAATTCACTCCCTGAAAGGGTTAAAATAGGGGATGAAAGTTTGTATGAAAAATCTTATCCTACCTTATCCTTGAGTTAATAAACTTGAAACTTGGCACAAATACTTATTTAAATGAAATATAAAGTTTGTAATTTTTAGTTTAATTAAACTACTCCCTAAAAGGGGATTAGGAGGGTGTCAAAGTTTTTATATGAATTCATTTTAACGTACACTATGAATAACTCAAATGTTGGAATTTTTTTAAAGCCCAGAAATAAAGATTAACGTGTATCAGTGTTTTGCAAAAACTACCACTAAGGGGGTAAAAAAGGGTATGATAGTTTGTATGAAAAATCTTATTCTTTAGTTAATAGAATTAAAGCTTGATACAAATTCTTCTCATAATAAATAATAAAGTTTGCCAATTTTGGTTTACCTAAACTACCCTCTTAATTTTAATCACAATTTTTAATATATGATTTAAAATTAAATCTCTCTTTATGAGATTGGTCCCTCATGTCTGAGAATCATGGTCAGCATTAGAGTTGCATCTGGAGTGGATGATCTGCTCCACCGATTTCTGCTAAGCGCATCTCTTACCAATGCATAAAATTTGGACCGCGCAATCTTTTATCTTCAGTTTTCACAACCATAATAAGCTTTTCCAAATTTGCATTGCCTCTGCGCACTGTATAGCCGAAGTAAGGGTAAAACTGTACTTCCAGAGCCCCAGAATTGACACTTCACTATTTTTTTGGTGAAAAGGTCTCTGTTAATGAAGTCTCTATGCAAAGTCTCCACACCAGCACACCAATAGTTTTTGAGAAATATGAAATATTGAAAATTACTTTTCTAGTAAATAAATAACACCATTTTGATAAATTACATTGTTTTTTTAGATAAGGTAAAATTAACAAAGTGCATACAGCCTTATTTTTCATTTTATGATTTTCATGTCATGATTATCAGACAGCCATTGAGAGTTTTCTGTGGCAACCAACAATTTTCAATTATTGGAAAGAAGAGAGAAAGGAGGAATATATGTGTCTTTAAAGTATTCTACCAATTTCGCATCATCTCCGGCGCTGCGGGTTTTGCAGCCCCTCTGCCCTTGCGTAACAAAAGCTCACAGGCACTCGCGAACCGTAGCGGCTGAGGCTGCTACGGTTCGCGAATGCCTGTGAGCTGTACTACATAAACAACCTAATAATAAGAAAGTAGGAACATGAAAAGAAAATTACTATGTATTAACAATTATTATCATACATTATTAAAAGCTTTTGATAGTTTTTCTAAGGAATTTTTATGCTTAAGATTTATTTTAGATGGCCGTCTAATAATTTCAACTTTTGTCTCATAGATTACTAAAAAATTCTTTAAAAAATCAATGTAAATTTTCTAATAGGTGTTACGGTGTTTTTGGCGCGATCGGAAAGCGTCACTTTAGCAGTTTTGTTTTTCTTGTTAAAAATTGTGTTGTGGCGGATGTTAGTGTCTCATAATGATGGATTATTAACCACTAAGTGTTCGGGAACATACACAAGTGTTGGTAAGTGAAACAAAATAGCGGAAAGTGTCTTTCGACGTTCCCTCAAGAAGTCCATGGGGAGGTTCCAGTAAATCCCCACACATTTACTGAAACATAGGGAAAGGGGGATTGACTTGACTGCCACTTACTTTGACTTGATTTATTACTTTGACCACGACTATAGAATTTTTAAACATTTTTAACACTTGACATTGGCTAAATGCATAAGCCGTGCGAAGCCATTTAGGAAAAAAAATAGGTGTTACCTATTTACTAAAAAAAGTAAAATTTTTCAATATGTTTTCTAAAAAACTACCTGTGCATAAGTGTGACACTTTGTTTAATAATGTGGTTAACAGAAACCTTTTCAACAACAAAAATGCGAAGATGCAACCAATAAACTATGAAATTTAACTATTGGGCCCTGGAAGTACAGTTTATCCGAAGTAAGAAAGAATACGTTGATAAGGTGAACAAACGAGTTTTTATGCAAAGCTGGGTCAGGATCGATGTTTTTGTGCGTTTTGCCGTCTTCTCAACATTCGTTTCCAACACCACATTATAAATGCCTTTCTCGGGCTAAGATAGTCCACGGTTTGACTTCGTACAGAAAGATAGAGAATACCAAAGCTCCGAGCTCTTGAGAATACCAAAGATAGAGAATACCCGTATCAATCTAATATTAGTTTTGACATCAATTTTGCTCTTCTTATATATTTCTTATATATGTCCTTTTTATCTCGGGGACACAGCTGCCGTCATTGTTGATTTGGGAGCCCAAGTAAATGTAGTGGTCGACGTTTTTAATGCCAGAAATGATGCAGACTCCGTTGGCATGGTAATATTCCGGCTCGGTCAACGATCATCATTTTAGTCTTTTCTCTGTTCACTGCTCGACCAATGTTGCCGCTATCTGGATGAAAGCAACGAGGTGATCAGTAGGCCTATTCACTATAAGATTCACTAACTGCTTTTGACAGATGGAAGTGATAATCACTTAGCTATTTAACGATCCACTATTGCTTTATTATAACGCCACTAAGATACTTTTTCCGGAAATCTTTGATGGATATGCAATTTTCTGTTTAGCTACACTGTAAATGTCAAAAAGTTAGCAAATAGGCCGGCAGGAGCTCCCATTTCGAGTAACACGTTCCACATGTTGACCCATTGTACGCAGTCAAAGGCCTTAGTGTAATCTTAAGCATAGAACGACAGAACTGTTGAATTCCCTGCTCTTATCAATGATTTGGCGGACATTCAATATTTAGCTATTCGGGTATCTGTCGACTTGACGTCGATCAGATCAGACGTTAGATATTGACGCAATTATCCTAAAATTATTATACAAAATTCTTTTGAAGAACCCTTTTTATGCAACGGTACAAATAAACACCGAGTCTGTCTAGACTCTTGGCCATCTACCAGTAGTCCAGATGGTGTTCCCGATATCGTTGATAGCCTTTGTGCCTCCCTGACCTATGTTTTTTTTTAATATTTCGACTGTAATAGCATCCTTGCCTGGTGATTTATTGCACTTTAGAGCAATGTGGCATGTTCAACTTCTAACTCAAGGATGTCAGGTTCTTCTGTCGTCCATGTTAGAACAGCGCTAGTAGGCCTTTGACTGCCATATAGCTGTGCACAGGAATTCTTCCAACGTTCCAAAGCTTGATCCACATTCGTAAGCAAATGACCGTCTTTATCTTCGATGGCACAGGTTCTCAGTTTACGAGTACCGGGTAGTTATCTTACTTTTTAAAAAAGATACTTGAATTCGCATGCTGATCGAGATCGAAACAGATCTAGATGATGAGGTTATCATGATCAATCCAACAGCGTCGTTGAACTTCGCGACTAAGTTCTGTGTACCGCTGCTGATCTTCTATCCAACGCATACCTTTCTCCTTCAGTTTTCGCCTTTCAAGGTTGATGTGAGCCGTCTCTATAGAGATCCTCCGGGTTTCGCTAGCATATTTTCTTTAGCTGTTTCCTTTGTCATCCATTTGAAATAGTCCCAATTACTGTCGCTATTAGTCATGTCATTCTGGAAATCTCTCACTCTGTGTTCAAAATCATCTCTGGAGTCCCAGATATTTCTAATTCGCCTGTTTTCAACTTCTTTGGGTTTCTGCATCTTAATGGCGTCAGCCGGATGACTAGACATAGGGGAGAAGGAGGCACCTTAGCACAGGGGCAGATTTGAACATGTTGATTTCTGAACGTAACTTTATGTTAATTTATGCCGTAACTACATTTTAATATTGGCAGCACTGGCTGTGACAAACGTCAAGTAACAAAGCGCGCGCGTTTCATTTTCAAAAAGATTTATAAGCTGTCGTCGTATTTGTACTGATGAAGTATAAAATAAAAATAAATATTTGTAAGGGATTTACTATCACGTGAGTAAAGGTTTCCAACTAATTCTTTCACAAAATTGTGCAGTACTTATTAGTTTTCAACCCCACCTTTTTGTTTTGCTTGCCAGTTATCTCACATTATTTTTTTGTAATATATTATTTTTTTCAAGTGACCGTGTGGCAGATTTGACCAAAGCAAACGGGCCAGATTTGAACGGGACGTTCAAATACAAACTTCATATGTTTTCTTACAAGTTTGATATTAAGTTTATTTTATGTTTAATTTTGCGTCTGAGGCAGTATTATATAATAATAATAATAACAATAATCTAAAACTCTTGTGCAATATGATTGCTTTTGTTAACAAAGAGGAAGTCCAACACAATGAAAATACTATTTTATATTTGTTACTGTAATGCAAGATGTAACTTTAGAAGTTTCGTATAAGTGTATTTTATACTAGCGGCCCGCCCTCGCTTCGCTTCGGTGTAGAGCTGAAGTGTAGACTACAGATTTTGTTCTCAGGCTTGTGTTATACACAATGACATTCATCTATGATTCTTCTTATACCTGCATGCAAAGTCTCACAAACTTTAATTCCCTATTTTATCCCCTTGGGGGTAGAATTGGTCAAAATCCTTTCTTAGCTGATGCCTACGTCATAACATCTACCTGCATGCCAAATTTCAGCCCGATCCGTCCAGTGGTTTGGGCTGTGCGGTGATAGATCACTATGTCAGTCAGTCACCTTTGAGTTTTAGATATATAGATTTTATTACAATAAATATCATTATAATAAAGACAAATTATTACTCTATCCTCTCTTTTATCTGGTTTTTAACCCATTGTTCAAAACTGCCCCATGTCGATTTAAATGTGCCCTCTGGGGAGGCAGATTTAAACAAAGTTGTGTTTAAAAAAACACATTATTTCTCTTTAACGTTTTCAGCAAATTCAAACATTTCATCATGTTTATATTAACAAAGGAGTAAGTAAGCTAAGAAAACAATGTTTTTTCAATTTCTCTTTACAGTTGATTTTTTATGAGTCCAAATACGAAAACTGTGCCAATGTGCCTCCCTCTCTCCTATTAATTACTGTTCTTCCTTTCATGATAACTCTCTTGGGAAAATAGAAGGAGTGGTTTTCCGTTGCCTTCTGGCCCCAGACATTTTTGGAGTTATTTAGACTCCAAGGCCGCTGTTGCCTCTTCGATCGGTTGTCCAATCGGCGGGTATGGTCATACCGCCATTAATCGGTCGCCAGAGCATCGAAAATAAAATAGAAAAATAATAAAATTTACTTATTATAACTTGATAAAGTCAAGTTTAGATTGGAACTGTGGCTACTGAATTAAAGGGCGATCTGCGAGTGCCAAAGTAGCACGAGAAGATCTGTTTCGCAATTTGGTCGTATTACTGAATTCAAAAGACTACGTGAAATATTTGCGACTTAGTCGATGTAAAACATCTAAACTAGATAAAAGTATCGCCTTCCGCAGAAGTTTGTAAAGCGATCAAGTGTGAAATACGTGCTTAGCTGCCGACAACAGCTCGAGAATTGTGGACTTTTGAATCTGATAAGGTGGCTTTAATCAGCGACCGCATCTGCCTTGCCAGCCGACAGGGATTGACCATGACTTATTTACTTATTTTATATTAACACTTTTGTAAATAGTTTCTGCAAATATAAATTGAAAACTAAATCTATAGTAGCTCAGTTGTAGTCCTGTTGACTTGGCAATCACATGAAAACACAATGTATCTTAGATATTATATTAAATTAGATTGTTGAGTACGATCGCCAAGTCAATTTATTTATTAAAAGTATACAAGATTTTTAATATTAATATGGTCAGTAAAAGATGGTACTAGGTGAGCTAATTTCGTAATAACTCAAGACAGATATTTCCTTAAGTAGGGACTGAATAAATTAACCGACTTGGCATAACCTGAATCTCACAACTTTTGTCAGTAGAAGAAGTAGAACTGAGTTGCGAGACTTGGTTTTTTACAAGTTATGTTTTTGATGGCATAATATTGTCTTCCTGTTAGCTAATCCATAGAAATATTATGATTAGTAGAATCGGCAATGTGCAAGTAATTCTCTTCGACCTAATATTACAGTACAAAGAGTCGTCGACATCTTTAGTTTTATTACAAGCAACCACCATACAACTCTTTTTTGTTGACCAAAGCCGTAAAAAATTATCATCTTTTGACATATACATACCCAATATGAATTATAATAAAACACTTTATAAAAAAGTACAGAAAATCTGCTAATGGACATGTTTAAATAAACAAAAAAGTATCATATAACGTCGGAATTTCCCGAGGGTGCACTTTTTTGGGAATGTAAATAAGCTAATCATACTTGGAGCCATCAATGAATGTTTGAAGACTGTAATTTTCTCTCTTTTCACAGTATACAAAGCAACAGGCTGACAAACTCGGTCTACGGGGCTGGTGCAAAAACACGGACGAAGGTACCGTCCTTGGACACGTACAAGGGCCTACCGATAAAGTTGAATCAATGTAAGTACTAATTAATGTTATTGAAAAAAACAAATCTTTGATATAAATGAACGAAGGGCTAGGGATCAAATATACAATTATTTTGTACTTAAGTGACTTATATCATAATATTAATAATTGAAATTAAAAGTTTGAGACTTGATTTACTAAATATTGATCTTAGATTAAAACAAAAAGGGAAGATACGGCATTCGCGGCTCAAAAGTGATCCGCTTAAATTGTGGTCCACGACCATAATTCGCTTTAGTCACAATTTGACATTCAAACACGCTGCATGTACACTCAATAGAACAATATTGCGTATATTCTGTGTTATGAAGATATAACAATACCTTCGATGCTTTTATAAAGAACACAAATAGTTCAAAATCAAATGCCCGGCAAAACTTTTCATTCGTAAAACTGAAAACAGTTCTGTCTCGCTCGCTCGATTGATGTTTATATAGGGTGAAATTGAATGTTTTAATGAAACTTCGTGAGATTGTTGGGTTACATGTATAGAGTATGCCTGATTTTTTTCGGAATTTTTGAAGTATATTTTTTTCATGTATTTATTTATAATTTGTGTATTTTTATGTCCTTTCCTCCTTCTGAGTAGTTATTCATTTTAAACAAACAAACTTACATATCCAGTGAAAAATAACTAATAAATAAGCACTTCTAAAAAATGGAAAAACATTAAAATTCCACCGCTGGTCAACGACCGACCGCGCCCGCCAGCCGCCAGCAGAGTGAGTAGGTACCTCTACACAGAGTGCAGCTGACTCCTTTGATTCCACACAATACAATAAAGTCGTCTTATGCCTTTATTGAAATAATAAGCACAAATGTCATCTTCTCTTAAGCAGAGAAAAACTTTGAAAGTTAATAATAATTTTGTCACGATTAGAAATAGGCAAATGTTAAACAAAAAGAAATACTTATTGCAGTTCAATACTTGGGTCAGAATAAAATTTATAACCAGGTATTCAAAAGTACTTACGAGACCGATGAACCTATTCATTTTTTTCACTTTAACTTCCCGTATTCACTTTGTAAACACAATCAATCACTAAACCTACTTTCGTAAAGCCTTGTGGCTCTGCTGAGTATTCCGTGACATTACAATAACAACACACCATATCCAACTTCTTATATTGAGGCCACAGAACAAGAACTAATCAAGGCATTATTTGCAAATCTTCTCTTACAAATTTAAAAGATACGCACGCGCGGTTTATAAACTTGACACTGCGCTCGCTCACTGCGCTTTGCAGGTATTCAACGCATAGGTAGGTATTCAACCGATTCAACGGGCGGGAGCGGTCATTGCTCCCGGCCGCTCGTCTTCTGTTTTTACGTTTTTTTTTAGTAGTGCTTATTAGTTGTTTTTTACTTACTCTGTATGCGTGTTTAAAAAGAATAATTATTTAGTACCCAAAAGGAGGAAAGGACTTAAAATATAACAAAAAAAGGAATTTTATTTGAAATCATTTTTAAAAAATCCGAAAAAATTCAGAGATACTCTATATACGTAACCCAACAATCCCACAAAGTTTCATTAAAACATTCAATTTCACCCTGTATACAGACGTGTGTAGTTAAGTCGGATCATATTTTATTTGATGCTAGTATGAGCGTACCATCTACCCTTTTTCTTTTAATCTAAGATATTGATTGGATCAACTTCTGTGTTCAGAATTATCTCTTATAGCTGAAGATCACAGTTAAATAATACTATTTTGGAGTGTTTTGGCCGTTACTTGATAAGATGTCATTTTCACGAGCGCGAGAATCGCGACGGTTCCGAGTTTCTATCGCCGGGTAATCTCCACGAACGTGCGATTATTCCGCCAGCGGCAGCGTATCGTCGCGCGACCCTACTAGTAACGGAATCACAGCGTGTCCGGTGGTGTCTACGACGATTCGTAACATAACGGAATCGCCGCGCCGCGTTTCCTTCACAACACGTGTAATTACTTTTTTGAAAGAGTTCAGTTAGATGCCAGACGAGAGCGAAATAAGTAGTGTTAAATCAGTCAACAAAACAAATAATTTACTACTAGAACGGCCGCCCACAAATTCCTCCGCGTTTTTTTTAAACTTAATTTTTTTAAGAATCCCTCAGGAAATTAACATCTTTCCGGGATTAAAAATATCCTATGTCTTAATCCAGGCCATAAACTATATGCGTACCAACATCCTATACCATTCAGTTATTTTTGCGTGATTGAGTAACAAACATATAAACTTTATTATTTATAATATTAGTAGGATAGATGTAGTGTTTTAGTACATGCTAGAGAATGTATAGAATTAGAGTGAGCGCAGACTATAGTCACAACAGTTGTTAGACAATCTTATCTTACATAGACGAGACATCTTTACAATAAAATTAAGAAGAAACAGTTGTGTCTACCACAAGGCGCACACCAAGACGAAACTCTTTTGTATACGATGCGATACTGATGAAATGGTGTGTGTCGCATCATGCGACACACACCATTTCATCAGTATCAGAATAGATTTTACCGATTTTTATTTTATAGTAAATTAAGGCACCCCAGAGAGTTTTACCAGTAATTTCGATAATTTGTCAAAATTTATGGACCCACATATTAATTAAGAAATCCAACGATTAATTCTTCGTTAAAAAAGAGAAAATCGGTTAATTTTTACTTTTATTTAAGTGTTTCTTTTTGTTGTTTAATTGTTGGAATTCGATTTATATATATTTCTTTAGTGTAAACTTCAGCCCATAATTTTTTTATCATGTTATGCCCACATATTTTTGCTTTTACAGTTTGGTTTTATATTATTGTTTTTTTTTAAATATAATTGTAACTTGTTTAGTGAGCTAATAATAAATATATAAAAAAAACACATTTTTTATATAATTTTTGAGGTTTCCGCTTCGTTTCACATTTCATAGTCACTAGACCATGACAGGAAACAGTCGCATCATGCGACACACACCATTTCATCAGTATCAGAATAGATTTTACCGATTTTTATTTTATAGTAAATTAAGGCACCACCCCAGAGAGTTTTACCAGTAATTTCGATAATTTGTCAAAATTTATGGACCCACATATTACTTTTTTATCGTATGTATTGTACTTATACTTTCTTTAGGAATCGATTATCATCCCTAATCGCTAGACAATTTTGTCGTTGGTGTGCGCCCTCGCATACATTACATAGGGCAGTGAACAGTCGTTAGTCAGACTTGTCGCTTTGCAGTTCTTGTGTACATAAGACGTTTTTGTCTATGAGACGTCTCGTTTCGAATGTGCGAATCTTCATAATTTTTGTTTTAAGCAATAGTCTGTCTTGAGACTGTCGTGACTCTAATCTGCGTTTAGCCTTACATGGCACGAAGATAATATCGCCGCGATCATCTCGTTCGTGGAGACGGCGCCTAACGACGTCTGAGTTCCACAGGCAGAGCAGATAACGGCCTAGCGACTTTTCTGGTGTCACATTCAGACTGAGAAACATGGTTAGCTGCTACTATTAAATCATTATCATAATTAAAACCTCTGGTTGCAACTGTTACAAGCTATATTCTGTGTTTTGACTTCGCGCGTCGTTTGAATTAAACTTCATTCTCGGGCAGGTTTTGCAAACACTTGGAAAATATCCTGGAGACGACTTATGATAAGATGTCGATTTGAATTATTACACTTTTGGACTTGGGTGGTGCGGTGATTATAACATTTGCGACATTGAAAAGTTTGGATAGTTTATTCATTTTTTTATTTCGTTAATTCATCCAGTTTTTCAAGTCTAAATATCTTTATTCTATTTAAAAATGCGATTGTTATAATTGTCTAGTATGTCTTTGAAATGGCTTCTACTATACACTCCCACTTATGTTTCTCAACTTACGGTTTAATAAACCCTAAGACACCATACACAATGAAATTCATCAGCGTTTACTTTAATTACTTTAACTTAATTTACATAAACTTTGTTCAAAGTATCTACATACGCTAACTCGTTACAAGTTTATGCATAATTAATTCTTGTTGTTATTAATTAATTGTATTAATGGTAAGTTTAATATGGATGTCCAAATATTTTCCTGTCATGGTCTAGTGACTATGAAATGTGAAAAGAAGCGGAAACCTCAAAAATTATATAAAAAATGTGTTTTTTTTTATATATTTATTATTAGCTCACAAAACAAGTTACAATTATATTTAAAAAAAAACAATAATATAAAACCAAACTGTAAAAGCAAAAATATGTGGGCATAACATGATAAAAAAATTATGGGCTGAAGTTTACACTAAAGAAAAATATATAAATCGAATTCCAACAATTAAACAACAAAAAGAAACACTTAAATAAAAGTAAAAATTAACCGATTTTCTCTTTTTTAACGAAGAATTAATCGTTGGATTTCTTTCCGAAATTCAAGAAGCCGACTACAAAAAATGTCCAAGGAAGAATAATTTTTAAATTTGATACACCATATTGTTATATAGAATTTGTGATTGTTAATTTACAATAGATGTAAGTAAAAATCAAAAATTAGGTACCTCGAAAGAAAAGAAACACCTTTAATATATCAATATATTTGAAAATAGTGAAAATCTTTAAATTGAAAGTGTACTTAAATATACGTCACTGATAATTAATTAGGCAAAGTTAACAACTATTGTTTGTATTTGTTAACTTTGCCTAATTAATTTAAAAACGAGAAAGTTTACTTAACTAATCCGTCTAGTTAAGTAAACTTTCTCGTAACCCATGTTTTTTTTTCAGGATGCAATGGTTAAAGACTACTGGAAGTCCAAGCAGTCAAATCGACAAAGCAGAATTTAGGAACCATAAAGATATTTCTGAATATACATTTACCGACTTCAGTATTCGCAGAGACTCACATTGATGGTAGCTCAAAAACATTACTGTATTACCTCGTGATATAATTGCATAATTTTAAATTTATTATTTAAATGTAATAATTATTATTTATTGTTAAACTGTCTATTGGAAAAAAATATAATTTTAAAATTTGCCTTTTTGTTTTTGAGTGGCATAATAATAAAACTTTATAAAACGGATATTTGTTTCATGCCTCCCTTCACCGACAGACGTTATTTGACGGTTCGAAACTCAAAAGTTACATCAAATCCCCAAATCCAATTTCGGTAAGCCCTATTCAAGGCAAATGAAATAAGTTTTACCAATTCTAAATTACATCAAAATTTATAATGCGTCCTTTTCATATTTGACGAGGGTGTTACGTCCTTTATGCCCTTACAAGGCTTTGTAATAAATCTCAGTTGTGCGTCACGTTTTGTCTCACAGTTTACAATAGATATGTGTGATAATTAATTAACACTTCAAAAAAGGTTTAGCAAAATAATATTACACTTAGTGCTGTTAAAATAACGCTACGCATGCACAAGCGTGTGTATTTTTAAATTTTATTTATTTCGTTCATCATCAGCCTATTATGTCCCCACTGCTGGGGCACAGGCCTTCCCTAAGGATGGAATAGGGAGATTGGGCCATGACCCACCACGCGGGCCCAGTGCGGATTGGTGGGTGCTAACGATTGCAGATGCAGCCGGGACCAACGGCTTAACGTGCCTTCCGAAGCACGGAGGAGCTCGAGGTAGTAAATTTTTGGTCACCCATCCGATGATCGACCACTGCGAAAGCCGCTTAACTTCAACGATCGCAGCCGAACGCGCTGACCACTTGCGCCATCGAGCTCCTCTTTTCGTTGCTATTATTTAATGAGGGTTCTATACCAGCAAAAAGTTCGTGGAAATGTTTTAATACATGCTCCGCCATTTGCGTCAACCTTCATCCAAGCAGAGGCACAAAAGCTTATTCCCCAAACCACACTAAAAAGCCTGCGGTAATAATGAACAAAAACTCCCACTTGCAAGCAGGTGGTTTTTTTGTTTACTTGTTAAAACCTAATTGTGTGTTATGAAACTATGGTTATAACAAATTCGTCTCATCTCTTTTGCGTCTCTAAATTAAAAGTACGACTCTATTTATTTTTCTTTGAATTGAATCTTTAATCTTCAGTAGAAATTTGAGTGCAACTACAAATGGTTCTTTTTTGATACAACAAAGTTTGACTGTCGCCGATTCACACATTCTACGAAAAGGCAGCCATTCCATTGCACAGTGTTTTATAGAACCAAAAATATTTACACCTTAAGGTTTTTGCATAAATCAATTATTTAAAGCCTAATAAAGGCAAGAGTTCAATTCCCAGATCACTATTTTAAGTAAAAAAAAAAGATATGAAGTAGCAAAGTTTTTGAAATTTGCGCATGAAAAAATTAACAAATTAATTTCCTCAAAAGACGGTTCCATATCTGTCCATGAGATATTTGCCACTTGCTAAGGAATTATTGATGGCATAATTTTGTAATTTTATTTTATTTATAAGTGTCCTAGTTTCCAAGAAATATAGTTTTTTCTCCAAAAATCGGCAAAAGTGGAACCTGGATTTAGTACAGAAAGGTTCTATAAGCCAAGTTCTATCACCCATAAAAAAATCAAGTTTCACTTTTGCGGTTTTAAGAAGTTATGACAGAATTTAGATAAAGGTCAACTTTCATGATCTAGGGTTGTCACAAAGGTCAACTATGAGTTAAATGAAAATGTTAAATTTTTGAAGTTATACTTCTTTAGGCGCGTTATGAAAAAATGATGAGAGTGAAATTTTAAGATGCGCGCGCATCACTGTAACACAAAATTTTACTTTTACCGCACATTAAGAAAATCTACCAACAAAATAGAAATAGAATCTCTATTTAGTGGGTGCTAACGACTGCATTGTGAAGGCCTATCAAAAGTATTTATTAATCTGGAACAACGGAACCAAAGCGCGATTCAGGAGACTACAGCGCCATCTCTTGACCATTGGTGTAGTAGAACCAAAAACCACATCTTTATTTTTTGTAATAAAGTAACAGTTATAGGTATTCATATTTATAATATATATCCACATGTTTCTAGTTTGTATATTCGGAATACGTGTTTGAGTTTCATACAAGTGCAAATCACATATGTTGTAATAAATTATATTCAGTAGCGATTTTAATTGAATATTTTGATTAATTATTTATTTTTTCAAATTAAAACTGAACTTTATTGACTGTGTCCTTTTCCAGACTTTTTATTAATTTATTGTAATTAATTATTTGCATGCAATTAAAAACTAATTTTAAACGATGCCAAAGAAGGATAACTTCTCACGCGCCTACATAAGTACACGCACCCATTTTTTTGTTATTAATACCGTCAATCAATTGAATAAATTATATTATATTATAATTGAATAAGTGTTGTACTTATAGACGAATACAATATACTTACATATACTACCTACCTAATGTAGATGTGATAATGTAGGAATACTTTATGTTTTAATTTTGACGACCACATTTTAATTTTGCCTTACACGCTAAATGGCAACGAAAAAATAAACTATGTTGTTCGAAAAAATTTAACACACATCCTATACTATAAACGAGCAATTATTGTATGTACCTATATAAATATATTGGTATGTAATTGGTTTCTCGGAAACGGATCTAACGATTGTGATGAAATTTTGGATTTAGAAATTCATTCACATTTAAAATCAATCTAGGATAGTGTCATCACCTGCCGGCACCTTCTTTATGCAACACCTCTACTTTAACTTTTATACAAATAAATCATCGTCGTTTAATAATTCTAGGTTGCTTTCATTTGCGACGTTCGAAAAATTTTCATCTTCAGCATCTTCCTCTGCTTCGAATAACGGCAATCGATCTGCATTAATTGGTTGTAAGAGCTCGCAAACAACTGAAGGCAAGGGAAATCGCTTAGAATATTTTCGACGTTGGCTGATATTTGCCATAGAAATAAACGGGTCTGATGATTCTAGGGCACGGTGAAAGAGGTCCGTCATTGTGGTTCTCCTGTTCATTTTTCGGCAATGATGTTCTCTGTCTGAACGCCAGAATTTATTTCGGGATTCAGCTGCTTGTTCAGATAGCATACCGATGGGCAGTGCACTGGACGCAATAATTTCTTCACCGTGCATGAGGATTTTATGAACTGTTACTGTCATCGGGTGCCAACTATAAAAACGGACATATTTTTCAACCCTAGATCATGAAAGTTGACCTTTATCTAAATTCTGTCATAACTTCTTAAAACCGCAAAAGTGAAACTTGATTTTTTTATGGGTGATAGAACTTGGCTTATAGAACCTTTCTGTACTAAATCCAGGTTCCACTTTTGCCGATTTTTGGAGAAAAAAATTAAAATCGAAATTTAAAAAAACTATATTTCTTGGAAACCAGGACACTTATAAATAAAATAAAATTACAAAATTATGCCATCAATAATTCCTTAGCAAGTGGCAAATATCTCATGGACAGATATGGAACCGTCTTTTGAGGAAATTAATTTGTTAATTTTTTCATGCGCAAATTTCAAAAACTTTGCTACTTCATATCTTTTTTTTTACTTAAAATAGTGATCTGGGAATTGAACTCTTGCCTTTATTAGGGTTTAAATAATTGATTTATGCAAAAACCTTAAGGTGTAAATATTTTTGGTTCTATAAAACACTCGGTGTCAACCCTAGCATAAAAATTTAAAAATTAATATCTTCTAAACGCCGCAAAAGTGACACGTGGCTTATTTATGTATGATAGACCACATCCGTAGGTTTATTTCTATCTAAGTTCTAGGTTCCACTTTTTCGTTTTTAGGGAGAAAAAACAATAAATACGAAATACAAAAAAAAATGCTGCTCCCAAACCAATGCATTTTTCTAAGCTAAAGAAACGCGTTGATACACCTCTGATTATGCCAGATTGACACATATTTATTTAAAAAATATATTGTTAATATTCACTTTATAAAAAAATATTCTAGATTTCATAGGTCAAAGGTCACGATAAATTCATGATTTTTTTTCTCAAAAAGTATTTGAGTTATTGAACTCATGCCTTTTTTAGGGTATAAATAATCTATTTATGTAAGAACCTGAACATGTAAATTTTTTTGGTTCCATAAAACACTGTGCATTGAATTGAAGTCATTAAGAGATAGGTGTTTTTAAAATCACGTTATTTCTAACTTAATGTTCCATTTTATTGACATAATTAATCAAATATTACTACTGCATTGCTGAAAATAGTATTTTAGCAGAGCTTTACTTAAAAAAAACAAAACATCAAAGTTTTGCTAAAATATGTAATTTATAACAAGAACTTACTACTTATAAATCACATATTTTATCCGTATTAAGGTACTGATATAATAGTACAGGATCCCAAGACTGCCAGATCTCACTTATTTTCTCATGTACGAAATATGGATTATCGAGTAATATTAGTGTGTACAACGAACGTATACATACTCGCTTACTTGTGCTGTGGGCCAATTTTCACGAATCAGGTGGCACAGGCACGTAAAAATTTTACTCACTTTTCTTACAGTCTGGGGACTGATTATTACGTATGTTGTAGAGAATATTGTAAACAATTTGAAATTAATACTGCCTGACACATTCCGTTCGCAGTATTTATTGCCAGACACTTTTAATGTCACTTTTGTTTGTGATTTTTGCTTTCGACATTAAAAGTGCCACCTGATTCGTGATAATTGGTCCACAACACAAGTTAGCGAGTATTTATACGTTCATTGTTCACACCTATACTACTTGATAATCCATATTTCGTCCAAGAGAAAATAAGTGAGGTCTGGCGTGTCCGTGATGCTAGCGTACCCACGATCAATATACGGTTTTTCGTTATGCCATTAAATACTGCGTAAATAGTGCCAAATTAGTGTAAAAATCAAAAAAATAGTGCCTCTTTAATTTAACCGTAAAGCCAGGGCACTATTTGAGCACTATTTTTGTGTACCAATTTCGTTGCTTAAATATATG